CGGGAGCATGTCCGTTGCTCTCTGGCTCCGCGGCCCCGTTGGCCAGCCCGGGGCGGGCCCTCTGCCAGGACAGCGTGGCCTTCTCCAGCACCAGCGCCTTGTTGGGGTCGGTCCCTGCCTGGACGTACAGCACGGGGCTCTCCTGCAGGAAGAACCGCTGCCGGCGAGAGGAGGGAGGAAGGGAGGGAGGAGGGGGCGTCAGGCCCGCAGCCCAGGAGGGATGTCCCCCTGCGGCCGGCCGGCCCGGGACCGGCCTGTGAGCGAATAGACAGCGAGAGGATGCAGAACTGCCGTCCACCGGGAGGAGGGGGGGGGGGCGGTTCCCGTTGGAGGTTCTAAACCGAGGGGTTTCTGGTGCCACACCCCTGGGCCCTCGTTCCTGTCGGAGCGCTCCCCTATTCCTCAGGCTCTCTCTCGTTTTACAGGGTCGGCAGCCTGAGCCACGCTGGCCTCGTCGCAGTGACCACAGCTGTGGAGTCACAGCATCGAAGTGCAGTTTCTGTTCCACTTATAACCAGAGAAAGTCAAAAGGCTGCCCGGCCGGCGTGGCTCCGCGGCTGAACGTCAACCCATGACCCAGGAGGTCAGGGTTCAATTCCCGGTCAGGGCACAGGCCCGGGGTGCGGGCTCCGTCCCCAGTGGGGGGCGCGCAGGAGGCAGCCGGTCCGGATTCTCTCCCCCCTCTTTCCGAAGTTAACAAAGGGAAGAAACGCCTTCGAAGCCAGTATGATTGGGCCTTAAAAACAAAGGGAGCCGGTGAGCCCGGGTCCGGGCTGTACGTCACCTCGCTCCGCGTGGGCCCCTCGCTGTGTGCGGGCGCCAGAGGTACACAAAGCGGGCGGGTGCCATCCCCCCGCAGTGTCTCCCTGGAGACCTGCTCGGGACGCGGCCGGGACGTGGTTTACGTCACTGTGAGGCCCTTTGGGTGGCGCCTCAGCTTTTCACAGTGAGCACCTCGTATTTTATAAAAATGAAATGTCGTTTTCACAGGAAATGACGGGAGGGCTATTTCTTCATTGTTTAAAACAATGGACCGTTTTCGGTCTCACTGGATGCATAACAGCATCCAGGCCAGGGACTCCGGCCTCCTCGGGAACCGCCGGCCCCTTTATTGTGTGTGTGAGCTGTTTTTAGTAACGTGAGCCCCACCCTCACCCCAAGAGCCACACTCTGTGCCTGTCCATGGTCCTTCCCATCTCATCCCCTGCTTGGCACGGACTGGGTGCTCCGTGCCCTCCAAGCTCCCTCCCACACCCCCAACCGCTGTCCCCGCCCACGTCCCCCGGAACCACTGTCCCCATCCACACCCCCAACCACTGTCCCCGCCCATACCCTCAACCACTGTCCCCATCCACACCCCCCGGAACCACTGTCCCTGCCCACACCCCCAACCACTGTCCCCACCCACACCCCCAACCACTGTCCCCGCCCACACCCCCAACCACTGTCCCCATCTACACACCCCCAACCACTGTCCCCGCCCACACCCCCAACCACTGTCCCCGCCCACACCCCCAACCACTGTCCCGCCTGCAGGAGGATGGCCCAGGGGCTGGGGGCAGGCCCAATGCCGAGGCCGTGCAGCCCACCCTGCCCGCTCACCTTGAACCTCTCGGCAGCAGACTGGGACTCCCGGAGGCCTTTGACCGAGAAGGGCAGGAAGAACACCACCAGCCGCATGGAGTTCCAGATGGCCAGGACCGTGAAGGCCTGGCGGGGCGAGAGGAGGTGGTGAGGGTGCCCCCTGCCCGCCCTCCATCCCCGGCCCCGTCCCTGAGCCTGGAGCCACGCCCTGGACCACAGCCCTGGAGCCACAGCCCACAGGCAGGCCCTGCCCTGGGCAGCGGCCGCGCTGGGGTGGGGGAGACGGAAGAAACGGTGACAGAGAGCCGGCCTTATTCGCGTCCCCGAGGCTGAGGCCTGGTCCCTCTGTCGCCTCGCCAGCGGGGAGAGTGTGACTGGGCGTCGCCAGCAAGCGGGAGCCCGGGCCGGGGAGGCCACGGGGGAGCACCGGCGGCAGCGGGCGGGCGGTGCTGCTGGCAGCCGGCACCGTGGCGTGGCTGCTGAGGTCACCTTCGTCCGCGTCGCCCGCCCGGCCCACACCTCGCTCCCGCCGGAGAACTGCCGGCAGGGCCTGGGGGCCGGCCTGGGGGCCGGTTTGCTCCCTGCGCCCCGGCCAGGGGGCGTGTGGGAGGCGGCCAGTCGGTGTGTCTCTCATCAATGTTCCCTCCCCCGTTCCAATCTCTCTTAAAAATCATTGGGGGGAAATACCCTCATGTGTTTTTAAAGTGGACATAATACAGATATAGATAAAGATATAGAGATAGATACAGACATAGATACAGATATATAGACATAGGTATAGATATAGATATAGATATAGATATAGATATAGATATAGATATAGATACAGATATAGACATAGGTATAGATATAGATATAGATATAGATACAGATATAGACATAGGAACAGTATATGATACACTCCGATGGGCCTGACTCCGCCCGCTCTGAGCACGGTGTGGCCTCTCGGCCTGGGCCGGCAGAGCAGGCTGCTGCAGGGAGGGTGGACCCGGCCTTGCCTGCAGACTCCCATGATGTCCTCCTGTTTTGGCTAAGGCCCGGCCTCCCCGCTGTGTGCCCCGCCCTCCTCTCCTCAAAGAGCCGGGATCCAGGGCGGGGGCAGACCCAAAGGGAGAGACAGGAGAAGCTGCGCCTTCCCATTTGACAGTGTTTTTGGGGTCACAGAGAAATGCATCTGTTTGGGGTTCCCAACCACTGAGGCGTGAGCTACACGTTCCAGCTCCCCCGACCCCCCCCCCACGACTGTCCCTCCCACCAAGGTCTTGGGGTGTCAGTTTCTCCCGAGGGTCCGAATGGAAGAAAGCCTGAGCACCCAAAACCCGGAAATGAAAACCAATTCCTAGCACCTGTTTGCAAGCCGCCTACGTCTCTGAGGGGCACAGGCCGGACAAGGACAAAGGAGAAAAGTTTCTGTCCTGTGGGGGGGACAGAACACCCAGACCCGCACCGTGGACGCTTTGAGCTCCAGCTGCAGGCCCACGTGGGTGAGGAACATCACCAGCGTGGACAGGATGGGGGCCACGAACAGCAGGATGGTGTTCAGGCTCTGGATAAGCCCGCTCTTCTCCATCAGCTTCCTCTCCTTCCTCCTCAGGCCTGGGGGCGCATGAGAAACCACAGAAGTCAGCCACGGGGACCTTCTGCACAGAACAATCCGTGGCCAGCCACGGGGACACCCTCCAAGGAACACAGAACAGTCCGTGGTCGGCCACGGGGACATCTGCCACGGAACACAGAACAGTCCGTGGTCAGCCACGGGAACATCCTCCAGGGAGCACAGAACAGTCTGTGGTCAGCCACGGGGACATCCTCCAGGGAACACAGAATAATCCGTGGCCGGCTACGGGGACACCCGTCACGAAACACAGAACAATCCGTGGCCATGGTCAGCCACGGGAACATCCGCCACGGAACACAGAACAGTCCATGGTCAGCCACAGGGACATCTGCCATGGAACACAGAACAGTCCGTGGTTGGCCAAGGGGACATCCTCCACGGAACACAGAACAGTCCGTGGTTGGCCATGGGGACATTCTCCAGGGAACACAGAGCAATCCGTGGTCAGCCACGGGGACATCCTCCACGGAACAGAACACCCCGCGGAGCCCAGAGGAGATGCCCAGAGGTGGGTGGCGTGGCCCCGGACAGCCATGGGCTCCACGCAGAAAGCCCGAGCTGTACCTTTGATTATGTTTGTGAACGGCTTCTCCCACGTGTACATTTTAATCAGCTTAATGCAGGTGAGGACCTCGCTGGTCACCCGGATGCGCTGGTCGCTGACCTCGGAGGTGTGCTTCTGTTCCTTCACAATCACGATCGTCAGCAGTGCCTGCGGCGGGGGCGTGGCAGGCCAGGTTAGCTCTGCACCGAGCCCCCCACGGAGGGAGACTCAGCTCCAGGTCCCCCCCCCCCCGAGGCTTCCCAACGCGCCCCCTCGAGGGCCTGCCTCGCACACCCCGGGGGAGCCTTCTCTCCTGGCCCAGCCAGGCTGCGCTGACTAAAAAAAAGTCCAGCCAAAACCGGATGGCTCAGTGGATAGAGCGTCGGCCTGGGGACTGAAGGGTCCCGGGTTTGATTCCGGTCAGGGGCATGGACCTTGGTTGTGGGCACATCCCCAGTAGGGGGTGTGCAGGAGGCAGCTGATCGGTGTTTCTAACTCTCTATCCCTCTCTCTTCCTCTCTGTAAAAAAAAAAAAAAAAAAAATCAATAAAATATATTTGAAATAAATAAATAAAAGGAAGTCTGCCTTGGGGACCCTAACCCTCTAGCAGCCGCAGCCCCTTTCCGGGACCGAGGGCGGGGACTCCTCCTCCTCCTCCTCCTCCTCCTCTTCCGCGGGCGTCACGGGGAGCACCCGTCATCCGAGCACCGCCTTCTGGTGCCCGTTGGTTCTCGCTGCTTAAGCAGCCAGTGTGTGTGTCCCCCTCTCCCCCGCCCCAGCCCCGAGGCGACGTGTCCGCTCGGAGGGACCCCATCGCAGAGCCCGGCTCTCCGGGGACCCCCAGCCTTACCATCAGCAGCAAGACCAGGAGGTAGGAGGCCGTGGAGATGAGCGCGGTGGGTCCGAGCGTGAGGTAGGAGCTGATGGTGCAGAACAGCAGCGAGAAGCCGCTGAGGAAGAGGAGGGGGACGTAGTACACGCCTTCGAACAGGTAGTTGACGTCGCTGGTGAAGAAGCTGATGGCCTGAAAGACAGCGGCAGCGAGGTCACCTCCCGGGCGCCCCGAGGGCCTGGGTCTCTGTTTTAATGTCGTGATTGGTTTCGGGGAGGAAGGGAGAGAGAGAGGTGACAGAAATAACGATGATGAGAGAGAACGTGGATCGGCTGCCCCCTGCTGGGGATCCAGCCAGGACCCTGGCCACGTGCCCTGGCCGGGCACTGAGGCGTGACCTCCTGGTTCACAGGCCGATGCTCTGCCCCTGAGCCACACAGCCCGGAGGAGGCCGTGCCTTTGAAGGGGGCTCAGGGGAGGGGCGGCCAGAAGCGTGCGTGGTGGGGACTGGGGGTGAGGGGGCGTCAGAGCTGCTGTCCTGAGGGCCAGGGCACCAGTCTGGGCCCGGAGGACGATGGGATTTTCAAGGGGCAGGGCGTGGCGGAGGCGGGCATGGCTGGTGCATTGAGGACTGGAGGTCACCCTGCCAGGGGCCACCTGGGGCTGGAGGGGGCCCGAGGAGGGGCTGGCGCCAGGCTCCGAGGCGGCTGATCCGAGGGTAAGGAGCCAAAGCAGAGCCGCCTTTTCAGCAATCTAAACGGCCCTCAAGGTAAGTCACCGTGAGCCCGGCCAGCATGGCTCTGGGGCTGTGCCCACCTGTGAACCAGGAGGCCAGGGTTCGATTCCCGGTCAGGGCCCATCCCCAGTGGGGGGCGTGCAGGAGGCAGCCGGTCCATGATTAGCTCTCGTTGTTGATGTTTCTCTCTCTCTCCTCTCTCTCTCTCTCTCTACCTCCTTCTCCCCTTTTCTCTGAAATCACTAAAAATGCATTTTTGTTTTTTTTTTAGAAAAGAAACTTTCTTAAAAAATAAAGAAATAAAAAGTCATCCGTGCTCCTCAGCCACAGGAACGCAGGGAGACTGGAATGAAATAAATAAACCCCGTGTCCCCCACCTACGGCCAGTCCTGTCGGTCCGTGTGGTCCTCACCCTGGCAGCCGCCCGAGCCGAGGGGAGCACCGGGGAGTCCGCGCTCCGGCCGCTCTTCCCAGGGTGCCCCGAGGCGCCCCCTCCCTCCTCCCTGGCAGGCGTCTCCCGGGCCCAAACAGGCCGCCCCAGAGCAGGCGCGGTAACTGCCGTGGTGGGCACCGACCTCACCCGCACCCGCCCCGCCCGCACCCACCTCGCCCGAGGAGATGTGCGTCAGGGACTTGAACTGCAGCAGCTTCTCGAAGGCCAGGGCGGAGACGGCCGCGCGGCAGCGGACGCCGGAGCGCTGGTTGACGATCCAGCAGGCGCACAGGCTCAGGGACTTGAGGCACTCGCTCAGGAAGAGGGCGAGGCTCAGCCCCACGCCCTGGGCCACGCTGCCCCCCCGCTCCTGGGCGCACTCCAGGATCCTGGGGATGATCAGCACCTGGAACACAGGCGTCCGGCTCCCTCCGGCCTCCTGTCCTTCCGGCGAGGGCACCGGCTGGGCCAACGCAGGGCCCACCTCCCTCCCCCCCCGCCCAACATCCCACATCCCCCCCACACACCTCACATCCCACCTCCCCCTACACCCACACCCCACATCCCACCTCCCCTCCCACCCCACATCCCACCTCCCCCCACCTCCCCCCGGCCCCCCTCCCGCGCCCGCTCACCGGCCCCAGCACGCTCATGAGGGCGAAGGAGCCGCCCAGGAGCGCGTCCACCAGGGCCCGGGTCCTCTGGAACCGCAGGATCACGCGGAGCATGGACGCCTTGGCCAGCCCCCGCCTGGACACTTCCTCTTCCCACAGCCGGCGGAGCCTGGGAGGGAGACGGCCCGAGGAGGCGCAGTAATGACTGCGAACAGCCATTCCTTAATGATGCTGGGCACCCCGTTTGTATTCAAGTCTCTCTAATTATTCCAAAACTAAGTCCCTACGGCGAGCTGGCCAAATCAAGCTCCCAACAAGTCCATGTGTTAAATGTAAATATTTTCTCTGTTTGTTACGTCCCGAGGCTCGGCCCTCGCAGCCTGAGCTTCATCGGAAGGTCGTTTGGCTGTTTGGTCTAATTAGCATATTAGCTCTTTATTGGGCAGGGTTTTTAGAAAGAGGAAGGAAGGGGAAGAGAGAGAGAAACATCGATAAGTGTTGTTTCACTTATCTATGCATTCATTGGTTGATTCTCGTGTGTGCCCTGGCCGGGGATGGAACCCACAACCTTGGCTTATAGTGCAGCTCGGTGGCTGAGTCAGTGTATGAACCAGGAGGCCATGGTTCGATTTCCCGGTCAGGGCACACGCCCAGATTTCGGGTTGGACTCCTAGCATGCAGGAGGCAGCCGATCCATGATTCGTTCCCATCACTGATGCTTCTCTCTCCCTCCCTCTCTCTGAAATCAATAAAAAATATAAATTAAAAATAAAATAAGAGCCGAAACCGGTTTGGCTCAGTGGATAGAGCGTCTGGAAGGTCCCAGGTTCGATTCTGGCCAAAGGCATGTACATTGGTTGCGGGCATATCCCCAGTAGGGGGTGTGCAGGAGGCAGCTGGTCGATGTTTCTCTCTCATCGACGTTTCTAGCTCTCTCTCCCTCTCCCTTCCTCTCTGTAAAAAATAAAATGTATTTTAAAAAATAATAATAAAATAAGCCCAAACCGGTTTGGCTCAGTGGATAGAGCATCGGCCTGAGGACTAAAAGGTCCCGGGTTCGATTCTGGGCAAGGGCATCTACCTTAGTTGTGGGCATATTCCCAGTAGGGGGTGTGCAAGTGGCAGCTGATCGATGATTCTCTCTCATCGATGTTTCTAACTCTCTATCCCTCTCCCTTCCTCTCTGTAAAAAATCAATAAAATATATATTTTAATAAAAATAATAATAATAATAAAATAAAAGTAAGAAAGCGCTTTCCAACCAGAGGTTGGCCTCTTGCCACAAGGGAAGAGCCCACAGCCCCTGATTGTCGGAGGAGGGACCGACCTCACTTCCTCTGAGCATCTCTGTCACCGTGTGTGTGTGTATGTGTGTGTGTGTGTGTGAGGGTGTGTGCGTGCGTGTGCGTGTGGGTGTGTCTCTGTGTGTGTGCATGTGTGTGTGCCTGTGTGTGCACATGTGTGCGCGCATGTGTGTGCATGTGTACGTGTGTGAGCATGTGTGCACGTGTGTGCACGTGTGAGCATGTGTGAGCATGTGTGTCTGTGTGTGCGTGTGTGCGCACGTATGTGTGAGCATGTGTGTGCACGTGTGCGTGCGTGTGAGCATGTGTCTGTGTGCGTGCGCGTGTGCGCATGTATGAGCATGTGTGTGCGTGTGCGTGTGTGCACATGTGTGCGTGTATGAACATGTGTGTGTGCATGTGCGTGCGTGTGCGTGCGTGTGCGTGTGTGTCCCTGCGTGCCCAGCGCGCTGCACCTGCTGGCGTTCCGGTCGGAGGCGTCCTGCGTGGACAGCGGCGGGATGGTGCTCTCGTCCAGGCGCTGCCGGCCCCCTCGGCCCAGGAGGAGGGGGCTGAGCCAGGACACCGTCAGGTAGGAGAACAGGCCGGCGTCGTCCAGCGGCTGCGGGGACGGGCGCCTGGAAGTCACAGCGAGGAGCCGCTTTAGCCGCGGGCTCGGGAGGAGGGGGGGGCGTGAGAGGAGGAGGGAGGGCCCTGCCCGGACCGCAGCGGCAGCCAGAGGCACAGCGAAGGGTTGGCGGCGGCTGTGGGTGTGAGCGGGAAACATCAGAAACAGCAAGCGCACCTGTGAACGGGGCCGATTCTAAAGGAAGGAAAGGGCCCGGCCGGTGGCTCAGGGTGGAGCACTGACCTGGGAACCAGGAGGTATCGGTTCGATTCCCGGTCGGGGCACAGGCCCGGGTTGTGGGCTCGATCCCTGATAGGGGGCGAGCAGGAGGCAGCCGGTCCATGATTCTCTCTCATCACTGATGTTCCTCTCTCTCTCTCTCTCTCTCTCTCTCTCTCTCTCTCTCTCTCTCTCTCCTTCTCCCTTCCTCTCTAACTCGATAAAAGTGCATTCAGAAGGAAGGAGAGCCTGCGGTGTGTCCTGGGGAGACAGTGCGGACGTGTCCGAGGTGGCGGTGACTGGTGCGGGGCAGCCCTGCCCTCCCGGACTCACGCGGGCCTGGGGCGGAAGGGCAGCAGCACCCTCCAGGCGTCCCGCTTCCCCGGGGGCGGGGCGGCCGTGCTCCCCGGCGGCTCCGGCTCCCGGGCATGCGGGCTCCCGGGGCCGTCCTCAGGGGTGTACGTTCTCTGGGGAAAGAAAGAACGAAAGAGCATCTGTTTCAGGCCCAGAGGTGCCCTCCGGAGCGGGCGCTGGGCCCGGCGGGTGGCTCCTTCCCGTCAGCTCCTCAGGGCCCCGAGTCAGGCAGAGAGAGACAGACACCCCCGTTCTCACTGGCACGGGGAACCCCTTTTCTCTCCCGCCCACTGACTTTTAGAGAGTGGAAGGGAGGGAGGAGGGGAAGAGAGAGAGAGAAACATCGAGGTGAGAGAGACACATCAATGGGTTGCCTCTCGCTGGGGCCCGGATGGGGGTGGGGATGAACTTGGAACCCAGGTACATGCTTGACCGGGATTTGAACTCGCGACCCCATGGTCTGAGGGCTGACCGCTCTGTCCACTGAACAAGACCGGCCAAGGTGACATGTGGGATCTTTAAAACATGGAAAAGGAGCTCCCGGACACAGAACATAGATCAGTGGGTGCCCGAGGCAAGGTGGGTGGGCGGGCGGGCGGGCGGGCAAATGGGTGGAGGCCAAAAGGCACAGACGTGGGCTACATGTTCGGAGTCACTGAGAGAGGAGAGCTTAAATGTCTCATCACCATAGAAAGCGATGTGTGACTGCATGTGCTGACGGGTGTTCACCAGAGTGACTGTCATGGTCACTTTACCACATATACAAATGCCGGGTAGTATGCTGTACACCTGAAGCTACCATACTGTTGTATGTCAATCACGTCCCGATATAAATCAATCAATCAACAAATGAAAGGGTCGATGGGAAAAGGTTCCAGACAGTGGTTCCTTCAGGGAGAGGGACATGGGGAGGGGAGACTAACAGATGAATGTGATTGTCAAGGTCCAAGCTGGTGTGTCAGTAATGGGTCCAGAAGCACTTAGTATCTATCTATAATATCTATCTATATCTATATCTATATCTATATCTATATCTATATCTATATCTATATCTATATCTATATCTATCTATCTAGATAGATAGATAAAAGCCTAAGTGACCATTACAACCGGTTGACCAAACAACCTGTTGCTATGATGCACACTGACCACTAGGAGGCAGATGCTCAATGCAGGAGCTGCCCCCTGGTGGTCAGCGTGCTCCCACAGACAATCTCCTGTGGCAGGCCAACCTCCCGCGGTCTCTCCCCTTAGCCAGCAGGCCCCTGTCGGCCCTGACCGGGACCGGGCGGGATGGCCTCAATCGGCCCAATCACCGCCCAGGCCACGGGCCCCCAGCCGTGTTGTTATAAGCGCATGCATAGATGGAAGGTAATGGGGGACGCACGCACATGCGTGAGCCACCAAGGTGTGCCGTGACCAAGGATTTTGATTCATCTGATTATAGGAGCGCGGGGTGCTTTTAAAAAAATCAAGGTTGGATCAATAGGAGACCCTCCCCGCTCGGCTTCGCCGGGAAGAGGTACTCACGTAGCTGAGGCCCGAGACCGCGCCGTCGCCCACATCGAAGCCGAGGTTCACGACGCCGCCGCCCGAGGAGCCGGGCACCCAGCAGAGCTTCCGCCGGGTCATTGTCCTGCCGAGTCCTCGTCTTCCCAAACCGGAGGACCTGGCGAGGCACCAGGCGGGGCGGCTGAGACCCAGCCCCACGCGGGCAGGAGAGGAGGCCGCCCCCGCAGGCAGCGTGCGAGGCCCTGCTCGTCCCTCTGCCTGGGGTGGACGTGACTCCCTCTTTTTATTTACTTAAATGAGTTTTTATGGATGTCAGAGGGGAAGGGAGAGGGAGAGGGAGAGAGAAACATCCATGAGGAAAGAGGATCATGGATAGGCTACCTCCTACACGCCCCCTACTGGGGATGGAGCCCACAACCCGGGCCTGTGCCCTGACCGGGAGTCGAACCCTGACCTCCTGGGACCTAGGTCAATGCTCAGCCACAGAGTCCTGCCAGTCGGGCTTGGCTTCCTATTTTTAAACATCTTCTCAGGCCCCCGCAGACTTCACTGGGGGAAACCTTCTCTAACTCCCGCTCCCCACCCTCCCCGTGGGCCGGGTCAGTCTCCTATCAGATGCCACGCCCACCCACAGAACTACGCCTCTTCTGCCCTGCCAGGGGGCTCAGTTGGTTGGGCAGCATCCTGTGCACCGAAAGGTTGTGGGTTCGATTCCCGGTCAGGGCACGGGCCCGGGCGGTGGGCTCCGTCCCCGGTGTGGGACGTGCAGGAGGCAGCTGGTCCGTGATTCTCTCTCATCACGGATGTTCTGTCTCTCTCTCCCTCTCCCTTCCTCTCTGACATCAATAAAATATGTTTTGATAATAATGATAAATAAAATATATTCTTAAAAATCCTCAGGTGAGGACTTCTTAAAAACAAACTGCTTCTTTTCATACCCCAGTTTGTAATTGTGCCTTCACGTCAATCCCTGTTTGCTCCGCGTTCATTTCTGGCTGAACGGAGGACTAGCCTGCTTTGCTTACTATTGAGTCCCTGGACCTGGGGCACAGGACAGGCTAGGACCGTGGTCGGCAAACTGCGGCTCGTGAGCCCTATGCGGCTCTTTAACCCCTTGACTGTGGCTCTTCCACAAAACGCCACGGCCTGGGCAAGTCTATTTTGAAAAAGTGGCTTTAGAAGAAGTTTTAAAAATGTGGCTCTCGCCGAAACCGGTGTGGCTCAATGGATAGAGCGTCGGCTTGGGGACTGAAAGGTCCCGGGTTCGATTCCGGTCAAGGGCATGTACCTTGGTTGCGGGCATATCCCCAGTAGGGGGTGTGCAAGAGGCAGCTGATCGATGACTCTCTCCCATCGATGATTCTAACTCTCTATCTCTCTCTCTTCCTCTCTATACAAAATCAATAAAATATATATATTTTTTAAAAATTGGCTCTCAAGAAAAATTCCAATCGTTGTCCTGTTGGTATTTGGCTCTGGACCAATGAGTTTGCCGACGGCGGGGCTAGGAGGACCGCCAGGTGCTCAGTACGAGGAGTGGACGGGAGATGAGTGAGAGGCACCCTGTTGCCATTTTCTGACTCCGGGTTTCCAGACTCGGGGCAGGGGGGCTGGGCAGGACTCAGGAGCCTTGTGTAGCCGCGTGTTTCGTGTGCCTTTTGCTTCACCTTCCCAAGTCTGAGACTCACTCCCCGAGCAGCCCTGCCCGGCAAGGAGACGGATGGCGTGTGGAGTATTTCCGAAGGAATGGAGAGAAAAAGTGGACGACTCAGTGGTTCAGCGTCGACCTGTGAACCAGGAGGTCAGGGTTCGATTCCCGGTCGGGGCACAGGCCCGGGGTGTGGGCTCCATCCCCAGTGTGGGGCGTGCAGGAGGCAGCTGGTCCGTGATTCTCTCTCATCGTTGATATGTATCTCTCTCTCCCTCCCTCCTCCTTTCTGCCATCAATACAGACATTTAAAGATGGCCTGATTTCGCAGAGCGAGGCCCTGGGGGAGGCCCCGTGTGCCTCTCTTCCGTTTATTCATTGCGCAAAGCTCCCCGGGGAAGGGGCGGGGCGGGAGGGTGGCGGTGGCGTCAGCCAGTTCTAGATTGCAAGTCATGCAGGCTGGCGCCCGGCCGCTGGGCACTGACCTCCGGTGGCCGCAGAGCCCGAGGGCGGTTCCCGCAGGAACGCCGTGCCCTGTGCTAACGAGGAGGAGGGGGCCGGGCGGGTCTCACTCCTCTGCTACCTCCCCGTAATGGTGCCGAGCGTTTCCACTGAGGAGAGAATGCCTCCTCGTGTCCCTGTGCTCCTCCCCACGCCGGGCTGAGGGCTCCCGCCCTTGCCAATTGCACCCGCCTTATCAGCATTCCCTGCGTTGGCTTCTCTTTATTGTTTTATTATTTTTTTTTAATATATATTTTATTGATTTTTGTACAGACAGGAAGAGAGAGAGATAGAGAGCTAGAAACATCGATGAGAGAGAGTCATCGATCAGCTGCCTCTTGCACACCCCCTACTGGGGATATGCCCGCAACCAAGGTACATGCCCTTGCCCGGAATCGAACCCGGGTCCCTTCAGTCCCCAAGCCGACGCTCTATCCATTGAGCCAAACCGGTTTCGGCTCTCTTTATTGTTTTAAATATATGCTTATTGATCTCAGAGAGAGGGAGGGAGAGGGAGAGGGAGATAGAAACAGCAGCGATGAGAGAGAACCAGGGATGCGATGCTGGTTTGGTCCCCGTGGTTTGTGGCGAGGCCGTGGCTGCCGTGGGCTGGGGACCAGCACGAGCCTGGGAATCAGAGAGGCCAGCTCCCCCGCCAGCGCCCGGGGCCAGGGTCACGGTGTGAATGTGGTCAGACCCGGGCTGTTTGCAGATGGCGAAACGGCCTGTGAACCAGCCGGGGCCCTGCAGCAAGGTAAACGGTGGCCCGAGTTCAAGGCCAGAGGCAAGGAGGCCGGGCAGGTGCCGGGAGCCCGGGGGGCAGGGGCAGCTGCCAGGCCCTTTCTCTTCCCGCTCCGCCCAGGCCGTCTGCTCCCGTTCCCCTCCCAGCTCAGGGTTTCCTCCTCCTGCTGGCCCCTCTAGCTTCGGGGGGCCATCGCGGCCGTGCACGGAGTGCTAACGCCCCACCTTCTCCTGCCGCTTCTGGCACAGCTGGCCCGTTCTCTGCCTCGGGTCTCCCTCAGCACACACCCGCCTCCTCACTGACGCCCGCTTTTTCTCTCCCACCCCTTCTACTCCCTCCCTCACACCACGGGCGGCTTGGGGGAGCATAAGGCAGTAAAGTGAACCTGCGTCAGGCTTAGGGGAAGGCCCAGCTCCTTCTGGGGCCGCCCGGCCTCTCTAACCTGACCCCGCTGAGCCTCTCAGCTCGTGGGATTGGGAAGCTCAGCCAACTCCAGGAGCTGGTCCGCAAGCATCCCACAGGCTCCCCACACAGGGCCTGTGCACGCGTGGCTTTCCTGCCTGGTGACCTGCCCTCCCCGCCCTTCCTGCCCCGCCCGGGTCCCTGCGGGGCTGCCCCCTCTCAGTGCGAGGCTCGGGGCCTCCTCTGACCCTCGGAAGGACTTCCCGCGCCCACACCGCTGTGCTTGCACAGGGCACCCACCCCCTGCACTGTCTGGCCATGACAGCGGCAACCTGTCCATGGTGGGTGGAGGGGCATTCCCTAAAATAAGGCCCTGGGACACCCAAAGGGGGAAAAAAAAATCATTGAGGAGTCATCACAACGGAAGGAAGTAGGATCCTGGCGCAGAAAGGGACATTGGGGCGGAAACGGCGCCTTTTAAGTGGGGTCTACAGATCAGACTTCCCGGTGGTTGTCATTGCGCTGATGTGTACGCCGCCCACGGGGGACCCTGAGCGCAGGGTGCGTGGGACCCTCTGCTCCGGCCTGGCGACGCTTTTGCAGACCGGAGCTCGGTTCCTCCCGGAAGGGAGAAGCATTTCCACCCGCTGAGACCTCCACCTTCCTTCCAGCACGGCGAGGGGGCTGGTGTGGCCGACTGAGCGAGTCCCAGGAGAAAGCCGAGGCCCTGAGCAGGCCTCGGTGCACAGGGTCCTGCGCCTCTTTTCGCGTAATTACGACGCGCGCCTTATCTGCGCCTCTTTTCGCGTAATTACGACGCGCGCCTCGCCTCGACGCGCGGCTCCGCCCGGGGGCGGCGCGAAGCGGCGGCGTTTGAGCCCCGGGGCGGCCCGTAGCGCCGGACCGGAAGTGCCGGCGCGCCGGGCTCGGAGGTCGGGAGGGCGGCGCGGCGGAGGCGCAGCGCTGAGGGCGGCTCAGTCGGACGCCGCCGCCATGTCGTCGGGGAGCCCCATCCAGATCCCCAGCCGCCTGCCGCTGCTGCTCACGCACGAGGGCGTGCTGCTGCCCGGCTCCACCATGCGCACCAGCGTGGACTCGGCCCGCAACCTGCAGCTGGTGCGCAGCCGCCTGCTCAAGGGCACGTCGCTGCAGAGCACCATCCTGGGCGTCATCCCCAACACGCCCGACCCGGCCAGCGACGCCGCCGACCTGCCGCCGCTGCACAGGTGGGCCGGGGCTGCCCCAAGGCGGGAAATGGGGGGCCGGGGGCCTGCCTCCAACATGGGAAATGGGGGCCCGGGGCTGCCTCTAAGGCGGGAAATGGGGGCCCGGGTCTCCCTCCAACATGGGAAATGGGGGCCCTTCACTGGGAGGATCAGGAGGCCGGAGCCGCTAGGACAAGCTGTCACTGGTAACCAGTGGACTGAACCCCTCCCGCCCCAGGTCTGAGCTCTCCCCCTCCCGTCCCTTCCCCCGACACTCTGACCTCTTCCCTGGACACGGCCCCCGCCCGCACCACCCCCTCCGCTACCCTCCCCTCCCCTCGCCGCCCCTGCTGCCTCCCCGAGGGCCTTTCCTGCCCTCGCCTGCCCTGGCGGCTGTCCCTGCGCCTTCCTGGCCGCCTGCCGGTCCGCAGGCCGGTGTGGGGTACGAGTGAGGGGCCCTGCGCCTGCCCGTCCTCCTCCACCTACTGGCCTGGGACTCGGCCTCCACCTGGCGGCTGTGCCGACGGTTAAGGGAGGCTGTGGGTCCCCGGCTCTGCACCCAGGGCCTTGGATGGGCAGGGGCTCGGTCCAGGCCGTGGCCACCAGCCACCTGTGGCCACCCCGCGCCGGTGGATCCCGTCCGCATGGGCGGCCCCGGTTGCTGGCACTGTCCCGGGTCCCAGACAAGCCCCTCCGTGGGCTGCCAGGGTGCACAGCTGGATTTTGAAAATGTGGAACGAAAACTAACTGTGTCCTTTACTAAGCGAACACATTTATAGAGAGCCTGGCTCTTTGCAGTTCAGTAAAACGTGAGCATCTCACCGCCCCTTCTCACTCTATGGCGTGAGTGCGGGACGCCGCATGTGGCTCTCGTGATTGCGTTGGACTCTGCGGGCCAAGGTTCGCTCTCGGCAGTGCCCTGGTCACCTCGGCCGCTGCCCCCACCCTGAGTCCTCTCGGGATGTGGTCAGCTTAGAGCCTTGTTCACCTGCGGTGACTGTCTCTCAGAACTGGGGTTCCTGGCCCAGTGGGTTTGGGGAGGGTTAGGAAAGCCTGTTTTTATCCCAAACTGGGCGGCTATATACATGTTTAAAAGGAGACACCAGCGCTTGCTGGTTTGGCTCAGTGGATAGAGCATTGGCCTGTGGATGAAGGGTCTCGGGTTTGATTCAAGAGCACGGTTTGTGCATAGGTGGGCCTGGTGAAGGGCGAGGGGGGGGAGAGGGAAGCAGTAGGGGGCATGCAGGCAACCAATCAGTGATTCTCTCTCATCATTGATGTTTCTCTCTCTCCCTCTCCCTTCCTCTCTGAAATTATATATATATATGTGTATGTATATTTTTTTAAAGGAGATTCCGTAGCTTTCTTCACATTCCCCTCCCTCCTAAAACAAAACAAACCCGCCAGCCCACGGTCCACATTGCGAAAGCCTGGCTTTTCTCAGCACCTCGCCCCCCTCGGACCCGCTCTGGCTGGAGTGGGATCGGGCACTTTCCGAGTGTCCGTCAGCGCTGGCACCCCCAGGACCCCACTCCCTTCTCCCACCGCCCAGCACGCCCTGTGCCTGGGCACCTCGTTGCCTGTTGAGCCCACAGTGGCCTTGATCAGATTTTTCATTTTCTTTCCACCGTGGGTAGGTCTGGGGATTGCACGCGTGGGTTTCAGAAGCAGGTTTACCAGCCCTGCCTGGTGGCTCAGTTGCTGGGATCGTTGTCCCATCCTCTCTCTCAAGTCAACAACAACAACGAACCCCAAAAACACGTCCTCTGGTGAGGGTTGTTTAGTCCTGCGTGAGGTGTGAGGGAGCACTCAGGGGCGTCATTCTGGCAGGTTTGAGGGGTGTTTCCCTCCCCCGTGCAAATCCCTCCGCAATGACAGCGACTGATACTCTAGCCCCGTGGTCGGCAAACCGCGGCTCTCGAGCCACATCGGCTCCTGGGCCCCTGGAGTGTGGCTCTTCCACAAAATACCGAAGAAGTGGCGTTAGAAGAAGTTTAAGTTGAAACAATTTGGCTCTAAAGGAATTTCAGTCGTTGGTCTGTTGGTATCTGGCTCTGTGGACGGACGAGTTTGCCGACCACGGGCCTAGCCTCTCGGGCCCAGAAGCACCCGTGCTGTTCAGGTGCCGGGTAAGCTCCCCGATGCTCCTGTCGCTGCCCTGATTTCACTCGCATCGCCCTGGGAAGATTGTAGGCGTTCGAGTTAGGAAACATACACCAACCATCCTCTCTGCGCGCCTCCCCCCCAATTCTACCTTTAAATATGTTTTTATTGATTTCAGAGAGGAGAGGAGAGAGAAAGAGCTAGGACCATCAACGATGAGAGAGAATCATGGATCGGCTGCCTCCTGTACGCCTCCTACTGGGGATCAAGCCCGCAACCCGGGCCTGTGCCCTTGACCGGGATCAAACCCGGGACCCTCCAGTCCCCAGGCCGACGCTCTATCCCCTGAGCCACACGGGCCCGGGCCATACACCGGCCATTCTTCATAGCATCCAGCATCCTCAAGACCCACGGGGCCTGGCAGTTCTCCTAGAAATACCGTTCACTCCTTGGACAGTCTGAGCAGCAAGACCCCCTGCGTTCCTCCAGATCAGCAGCCAGCGCCCTTCCCTCCGATCTGACGGGAAAGCACACCTTCCTTAAGACTGAAACCTCCCGTCACACAGGGCCTGCGTGGTGGCCAACGCCGCTCCGTGCCGCCACCCACACCCTCCCCGGCGGTTACCTGCGCTCCCAGGTGGCGCCGGGCTGCAGGGCGGGCGAGGGCTCCCTCTGCTGCTGCCCGGTTTTCAAGGAGCAGCCGGAGCTGTTTGCCCCGGGCTCTTCGTCACCGCGGGAGCAGGGCCAGGCGCCGGCTTCCTGGACCAACCCCTCTTTTGCATGTGGGCCCCGGTGGCTCTCCCTGAGGGTAGCTCTTGGCCCCAGCCACCTGAGGACACCCGTGTGGTGGCTTTGGAGGGACGCCTTGTTCTCTGAGGGAATGGTCCTGACTCGGCCGTCCCTGAGCCCTGTCCGCCCAAGTACCCAGGCTGCCTCCCCTCCGCGCCCCCCCGTCAGGCCCACGACTCTGTGACTGCGGCCTCGGGGCCCGGTGACAGCACGCCTGTGCACACATGGGCTCCTGCTGGGGTCTCTCAGTCCCTCTGCCGCTCCCAGCCCCAGCGCGTTTCCTGGTATCTGTCTAACACAGCGGTCGGCAAACTCATCCATCCACGGAGCCAAACATCAACAGGACAACGACTGACCTTTCTTCTGAGAGCCACATGTTTTAAACGTACACTTCTAACACCACTTCTTCAACACAGACTCGCCCAGGCTGTGGTCTTTTGTAAAATTTGGCTCTCAAAAGAGATGCCAATCGTGAAGCATCCATCATATATAAAAGCTGCTGTTTGAAGTTTTAACCCTGCTGTGTGGCTTGCTAAGACCCACTTCAGAGAGGCTGGTAAACCTTCCCCGGACGAGGTTATCAGCGCTGGCGCCAGGCCAGGCCTCTGGTTGAAGTCTCGGGGCCCAGAAACACTTTAAGAACTTGCAAAGGGGGCCAGAAACACGCCATATTTGGGAGACAAAGAAGGTAAAAACATATAACTAGGGAGAATTCCTGCCTGTTGGGGCCCAGAATTTGAGAGGCATTTTCCTCTGGACCCGCATGTAATAAACGTAGCTCCATCCCTCTATTGCTTTGTGCTTTTTGGTTTTCTGGGACCGTTGAACAGTTGATATTTGGCTCTGTTGACTAATGAGTTTGCCGCCCGCTGACCACGGCAGAGTGTAAGCGTGACCCTCATTCTCACGGGAAACCAGAAAACGTGTGACTCGCCCAGGCGGGCTCTGGCCGCCTGCCGCCCCCGGCCATTTTCCTGAGGGGTGCGCTGGAGTCCGAGGAAGGGGTTCGGGGAAGAACCCGTCCCCCGTGAACCTCGCCAGGTGTGTCTTTCCCTTCAGCCTGGACGCCTCCTCCGATGGCGGAAGCACGGTGTTTGCTCTGCGGGAAAACCTGTTGGCCTCCCCGGGGCCGGACAAATACACACACACACACACACACACACACACACACACACCCCAGTGCCAGCTGGAGGCCCTGCAGCCGAACTGGAGCTGCTCCTGCCTGGGCTGTGGGCCGAGGGCAGCACCGCCAGCTGCCAGGCGGGACGGGAAGCGGCCACGGTGGCTCCGCAGCCTCCGTCCCCAGCCCCGACTGCTCTCCCCGCCAGGCTGTCTTCTGATCGTTGGGGTTAAGTTGCTGCTGAAATCCGATGTCACCCCGTGCGCGGCGGGACGGGACGGCGGGACAGGTTCCCGCTCAGAGCGCACTGCGTGGAGGGAGGCCGGGCACAGCCTGCGGGCGTGACTCTGAGCCTCCACGGGAGCCACGCAGAGGCAGGCATCGCGTCGAGAGGATCGCACCATCTGAGCTGCGCTGTCCGTGCACTGTCCATGTCCGTGCGCTGTCCGTGTGCCGTCCATGTCCGTGTGCTGTCCATGTGCTCTCTGTGTCTGTATGCTGTTCGTGTGTTGTCCGTGTGCTATCTGTGTGCTGTCCATGTCCGTGTGCTGTCCGTGTGCTGTCATTGTGCCATCCGTGTGCTGTTCGTGTGCTGCCCATGTCCTTGTGCTGTCCATGTGCTGTCCACGTCCGTGTGCTATCCGTGTGCTGTCCATGTTCATGTGATGTCCGTGTGCTGTCCGTGTCTGTGTGCTGTTCGTGTGCTATCCATGTCCGTGTGCTGTCTGTGCTGTCCGTGTGCTGTTCATGTGCTGTCTGCTGTCCGTGTGCTGTCTGTGTTCTATCCGTGTACTATCTGTGTGCTGTCTGTGTACTGTCTGTGCACTGTCCATGTGCTGCCCGTGTGCTGCCCATGTGCGGTCCGTGCTGCGCTGTGTGAGGGGCGGGCTCTTGTGCAGCCGTCCCCAGGTGTCGGAGCCTGGTCCCCCTCTTCCTGAAGTCCCAGCCTCAGTCCCACGGGGGCCTGTGCCCCTCGCCCCGCGTTTGGAGACGGGACCCCAGAGCAGCCGGTCCCGCCTGGCGCCGGGGAGGCGCCGTGGGAGCCCACAGGCGGCGGCGGCTCCGTGTTGGCCGAAAGCCGTGCCGGGCCCGCTTCTCAGCTGGTCACGCGTGCTGTGTCCATGTAAAGCCTCTTAAATGCCGCTATTCCGGTGCGAGCCTGCCTCATGCCCGGCGGGGAATGAGCTGAGACCACATAGCTGTCAACTACATTCTCCACAGTTCAGCTGCCACCTGCCCTCTGAGGGGGCATGGGAGCGGCGGTACCAGCGTCACAGCCGGTCCCGCGCGGGGAGCTCAGCAGCCAGTGCTCGCTCGCTCCCGGGGCCTCCTCCGGCGGCGGGCGGTGTTGGGGGGGCTGCGGGCCCGGCGGCGGGCGGCGTTGGGGGAGCTGTGGGCCCGGCGGGTGGCGTTGGGGGGAGCTGTGGGCCCGGCGGGCGGGCGGCGTTAGGGGAGCTGTGGGCCCGGCGGCGGGCGGCGTTGGGTGGGGGGGAGCTACGGGCCTGGCTGTGGGCGGCGTTGTGGGGGCTCCGGGCTCGGCAGGCGGGCGGCGTTGGGGGAGCTGTGGGCCCGGCGGCGGGCGGCGTTGGTTGGGGGAGCTGTGGGCCCGGTGGCGGGCGGCGTTGGGGGAGCTGCGGGCCCGGCGGCAGGCGGTGTTGGGGGAGCTGCGGGCCCGGCGGCAGGCGGTGTTGGGGGAGCTGCGGGCCCGGCGGCGGGCGGTGTTGGGGGAGCTGCGGGCCTGGCGGCGGGCGGCGTTGGGGGGAGCTGCGGGCCTGGCTGCGGGCGGCGTTGGGGGGGCTCCGGGCCCGGCGGCAGGCGGCGTTGGGGGAGCTGCGGGCCTGGCTGTGGGCGGCATTGGGGGGGCTCCGGGCCCGGCGGCAGGCGGCGTTGGGGGAGCTGCGGGCCCGGCGGAGGACGGCGTTGGTTGGGGGGGAGCTGCGGGCCCGGCGGCGGGCGGCGTTGGGTGGGGGGGAGCTGCGGGCCTGGCGGCGGCGGCGGATATAAGGGGCGTCGGTGTGTTTTGCAGGATCGGCACGGCGGCGCTGGCCGTGCAGGTCGTGGGCAGCAACTGGCCGAAGCCGCACTACACGCTGCTGGTCACGGGCCTGTGCCGCTTCCAGATCGTGCAGCTGCTGAAGGAGCGGCCGTACCCCGTGGCGCAGGTGGAGCAGCTGGACCGGTTGGAGGAGTTCCCCAGCACGCTGCAGACGCGGGAGGGGCTGGGCGAGCTGTCCGAGCAGTTCTACAAGTATGCCGTGCAGGTGCGCCCGCCCCGCCCGCCCCCTGAGCCTCCCCCGTGCCCTCACCGCCCGGGAGAGGGCCGTGCAGGTGCGCCCGCCCCGCCCGTCCCCTGAGCACCCCCCCCCCCCCCCCCCCCGTGCCCTCGCCGCCCGGGAGAGGGCCGTGCAGGTGCGCCCGTCCCCGCCTGTCCCCGAGCGCCTCCCCCTCCCGTCCCCTCGTCACCCAGGAGAGGGCCGTGCAGGTGGGCCCGTCCCCCCGAGCACCCCCCCCCCCCCCCGTGCCCTCGCCGCCCGGGAGAGGGCCGTGCAGGTGCGCCCGCCCCGCCCGTCCCCCGAGCGCCTCCCCCTCCCATGCCCTCGCCGCGCTGGCAGAGGAACGTGCTGGCGGTGCTGCCAGGCCGCGTGTGTTAGCGTGAGCTAGTAATTCACCGTCACGCGTGCATTTCAGTGTGCTCACCTCTGCGCTTGTGCCTCCGGCTTCCAGGGCAGGTTAGCCAATCCTTTCCAAAACGTTTCCAAAAGGTATTTCTAGAGTTTTCCTTATAACGCCCGGTGTCTCCAAACCAGATAGTAAGAGCTTAGAAGTACTGCCCTCGTCACTCACTGTCTGGGCACCGACATGTAAGTCACGCTGGTCACCGCGGAGGGGTGGTGCGCAGCCGGCGGCGGCGGTCTGACACGGGCCGCGGTGAGGGGTGGGCTCGGACATGCCCGCGGCGGCCGCAGCAGGAGACGGGGCCTGCTGTGGCTCTCGGCAAGGCCGGAGCACCTGGCTCTCCTCATGTCGCACCGCTCGGCCACGCCAGCAGGGGGCGCAGCCTTTGTCCAGCCGTGGAATCCCGGTTACTGACGGCGCCCAGAGTTCAGCTCTCCGTTTATAGGAATCATTCCCAGCTGATGAGGCACTCAGGTCCCCGTTAATCCAAGGCCCTGTGAGAGGCCGTGTTCCAGCTCCTGGCTGTTGGCCTGAGCGCGCCGGCCGTGCGAGCTCTCCAGACCGGCGGCAGGCCGGGTTATGTAAGCCTGAGCTGCAGGGCAGTGGTCACGGTGCCTGTGTGCACGTGTGTGTGTGTGTGTGTGCACGTGTGTGTGTGCACGTGTGTGTGTGCGTGTGTGTGTAAGAAAGCCAACGGGCAGGAGGTTCCTAGTTGGCGAGTTTAGGAGAAGAGTATATAGTTTATCGTACTATTGCAACTTTTCAAAAGTTTTAATTTTTTTCTAAATAAAAAATCAAAGATTCACGTACAGCCTCTTGTCAGCATTAGCATTGCCCACGTCGGAACCGTTTCTGCTTTTCATTCTGGTGGGCGCTCTGCTCTGAGCCCACCCCGCACGGCCGCCCGGCGGGAGCTCGCAGTAACCCGCTGTCCCCGCAGCTGGTGGAGATGCTGGACATGTCCGTGCCCGCCGTGGCCAAGCTGCGGCGCCTGCTGGACAGCCTGCCCCGCGAGGCCCTCCCGGACATCCTGACGTCCATCATCCGCACCAGCAACAAGGAGAAGCTGCAGGTGCGGAGCCGCGGGATGCCTGTCACGCCGGGGGGGCCGGAGAGCGAGGGCCGGCCTCGGGGCAGGGTGCCGGAGGCTCACAGAGGACACGGGAGGGGTTGGCTTGGCCGTAGAAGGGACGGCTTTTCCGCGTTGTCAGCACAGCCCTCGTCAGTTCCTGGGGAGAGTGAGGCAGAGAGCAGTGACACGGGTGGACGGCTCACCTGACTTAAATACATAACATACTCAGGCCGCCGGTTTTACACTCCAGGGGCCACGCCCTCCCCCTGTGTGGCCGCTGGGGTTCCTGGCGTTGCTTACGGAAGCCTGTGACACGTTGCTTGTCATTTTTTCCCTTTCTGTGTCTCTAGAGGGAAATGAGTTCTAAGACACTTGAAAAATAATCCAAGTTCGGGATCTGAGATGTGCATGTTTTTTCCCCCAAAACGGTCACAGTTCTCTTGCAAACTTACTTTTATAGTATTTTTAAGCAGCCTGCTGTATTGAATCTTCTCAGAACCTTTAAGCTAGTTCTTATTTATTTTTTTTTAAATACGTTTTTATTGATTTTTAGAGAGAGAGAGAGGAAGGGGGGGATAGAGCAATAGAAACATCAATGAGAGAGAGAGAGACATCGCCAACCAGCTGCCTCCTGCACGCCCCCTGCTGCGGAAAGAGCCCACACCTGGGCCTGTGCCCTGACCGGGAATCAAACCCGTGACCTCTCTGTTCCTGGGTCGGTGCTCAACTGCTGAGCCACACCGGGCCGGCTAAACTAGTTTTTGTGGAAGCCGCCCTCCTTCCTGTATCGTTCACTGAATACTTAAATCCAGCCATTGTAGCAGCTGGCGCGAACAGACGGAGTAAGCAGGGACCCAGCGCCCGGGAGGAGCGGGCGGTGGCGGGAGCACCCTCCCCTGCTTGGGGTGCGAGCAGGGAGCGGTTACGCTGACGGTGGGAGCGTGTCTGCAGCAGACTCACCAGCGGGGGCGGCGGGAGGTGCTCCGGTCTCCCCTGTGTGTACGGCTTCAGGTGCTGAGCCTGACGTGCAGACGCGGCCGAGGCTTTAGGGGGTGGTTCTCAGAAGGAGGGGCCCCAGTGTGTGTTTTGTGCTGGCTCTCGGGACAGTCCACGCGGCTTCTGTTTTAAATGAAACCCCAGGGGCTCCGTGGTCTTCCGGGTTCTGGTGTTGGTGCCGGACAGCCGCGCCGGGCGAGCATGGCTGACGTGGCTGTGCTGGCCGCAGGGGGCTGCGAGCCAGACGGGGGTGGCCGCCCGCGGGGCGTGGAGCCGTGTTTCGGTAACGGCTCGCTCTCGCTCTAGATCCTCGACGCCGTGAGCCTGGAGGAGCGGTTCAAGGTGACCATCCCGCTGCTGGTGCGGCAGATCGAGGGCCTGAAGCTGCTGCAGAAGACCCGCAAGCACACGCCCGACGGCGAGAAGCGGGTCAGTGTCCTCGGCGCGTCCTCGGCCCGTCGGCACGGGACCCGAGGTCCGTGTGGTTCGTTTGTTTAAGAAAAACACGGGGCAGCCCGGCTGGCCTGGCTCCATGGCTGAGCATCGACCCAGGAACCAGGAGGTCAGGGTTCGATTCCCGGTCAGGGCACAGGCCCGGGTTGCGGGCTCCATCCCCAGTAGGGGGCGTGCAGGAGGCAGCCGGTCCATGATTCTCTCTCATCACTGATGTCTGTCTCTCTCTCTCTCTCTCTCTCTCTCTCTCTCTCTCTCTCGTTCTCCCTTCCTCTCTCTTGAAAACTCAATAAAAACATATTTTTTAAAAGGATGACTTACCAAGCCATTTTGTTTTTTGCCAAACATTGTGTGTTTTCTATATATTTTTTTTAATTTATTTATTTTTTTAAAATATATTTTATTGATTTTTGTACAGAGAGGAAGGGAGAGAGATAGAGAGTTAGAAACATCGATGAGAGAGAGTCATCAATCAGCTGCCTCTTGCACACCCCCTACTGGGGATATGCCCGCAACCAAGGTACATGCCCTTGACCGGAATCGAACCCGGGGCCCTTCAGTCCCCAAGCCGACGCTCCATTCATTGAGCCAAACCGATCCCGGCTATATTTTGAAAATGAGCAAATACCTGCCGAGTTGCACATTTTTCCGGGCGAGATGTTAAGAGCAGACGAGGACTGTCCGTGCGCTGCGCCACGGCCTGGCTGTTTCCAGCGGATGGACGTTTGGATTTCCTTTTGGTCAAACTGCACCTTCTCTGTCTCAGCCCGAGTCTCGGCCTCCGCGTGCGAAGACAGCAGCCGCATCTCCCCAGAGCGCTTTCATAGGGCTCACACCACCCTTCTCCTCTTTTTTATTTCTGTCTTTGTTGTTGGAAGTATGGCCGACGGCCCCTTCTTTCCCCATTGACCCCCTTCACCCCACTCCTCCCACCGTCGGTCCGTGGTCCCTTCACTGTCACACGTGACACTCCCATGGAGGCCGGGCCGGGCTGTGGCTGCAGCGGGAGGGAGGGAGGGAGAGAGGGAGGGAGGGAGGCCTCCTGGGGACACTGCGGGAGCAGCAGCCACGCAGGCTGAGCCACCGGGACGGGGGCCCTGGTGCTGACGCCTGCCCTCTGCGCAGGTGATCGCCATCCGCCCCCTGCGGAGGGTCGCGCACATCCCCGGCGCCCTGGAGGAGGAGGAGGGGGAGGAGGAGGAGGACAGCGACGACGTGGTGCTGCTGGAGCGGAAGGTGCGCTCCTCCAGCATGCCTGAGCCCGCCCGCCGCGTCTGCCTCAAGGAGGTCAAGAGGTGAGCGCGCCTCCCCGCCGCCCCCGCCGCCTCCGCCGTCCGCTCGCCGTGCTCACGGCCCGTGGTGCCCCCGGAGGCTCTGGAGTCCTTACACGGTCCCCCCCACCCCCGTGTGCGGGCATTGCTTTAATTTTGTTCTGTAATATCCTTTATTTTATTTTAATATTTTTAATTGATTTTTTACAGAGAGAAAGGGAGAGAGATAGAGAGCTAGAAACATCGATGAGAGAGAAACATCGACCAGCTGCCTCTTGCACAGCCCCTACCGGGGATGTGCCCGCAACCAAGGTACATGCCCTTGACTGGAATCGAACCCGGGACCTTTCAGTCCGCAGACCGACGCTCTACCACTGAGCCAAACCGGCTTCGGCTGTAATATCCTTTAGAGCAAAATAAATGTGCTATTTGCCAGATTTAAAAAAAAAATTTTTTTAGATTTATTTAACCAAATGCAGGGTGTCCCCCAAAAATGTATATACACCGTCACAGCTGAAAGCTCAGTTTTGAAACTGAACTGTATTTTTTTTTTTTTAAATATCTTTCTTGATTTCAGCGAGGAAGGGAGAGGGAGAGAGTGATAGAAACATCAGTGATGAGAGAGAATCATTGACTGCTGCCTCCTGCATGCCCCCTACTGGGAATCAAGCCCGAAACCCCGGCGTGTGCCGTTGACCTGAAGGGGACCTGGGACTCTTCAGCCCGCAGGCTGGCGCCCTATCCACTGGGCCACACCAGCCAGGGCACAGACTGAAATGTGTCTTAACAGACACTGCTTATATTATTATTATTCAGATTGCGTGTGCTCATCTTCTGTATGTCTGATGTTGCTGGCCAAGCCGTGGGGTCGGCTGCTTCTCTGTTTTCATGGGGTCTTGGCTCTCGAACACCTTTGCGACGCGTTCTTCCTCCACAGACTCAAAAAGATGCCGCAGTCGATGCCGGAATACGCTCTGACCAGGAACTACCTGGAGCTCATGGTGGAGCTGCCCTGGAACAGAAGCACCACCGGTGAGCCCTCCGCCGCCCGTCACCGCCCGCTCCCCTTCCCGTCACCGCGCCTCGGCTCCCCGAGAGGCCCTGGGCCCGGGTGAGAGGCGGGGTCTCCGTGGTGGGGGCCACGGGACCCCCGGTTCCCTCGCGGGCGGGGGCTTCCCTCGGCGCCCGCCGCTGCAGGACCTGCTGCTTCCGTCCCGGCTCCCAGCCGCGCTCAGAGGGAGGGGCGTGTCCCGTCACTGCTAAGCCATCGGGGCTCCCGCGGCCTCGGGGGGCTCCCTCCGCGAACCCCGGTGCCAGACGCGCGCGCTCTGGTCGCCCGCAGACCGGCTGGACATCCGCGCGGCCCGCGTGCTCCTGGACAGCGACCACTACGCCATGGAGAAGCTCAAGAAGCGGGTGCTGGAGTACCTGGCCGTGCGGCAGCTCCGGACCAGCCTCAAGGGCCCCATCCTGTGCTTCGTGGGCCCGCCCGGCGTCGGCAAGACCAGCGTGGGGCGCTCCGTGGCCAAGACCCTGGGCCGCGAGTTCCACAGGATCGCGCTCGGCGGCGTGTGCGACCAGTCCGACATCCGGGGGCACAGGTGCGTGCCTCCCTCGCCGCTGCCTGTGTGGGGTCAGACGTGGTTGTGGGGAAGGATGTGGTGCTTTTACATCTCCTTTCCGTTTGCCTGTTTCCAAGTCGCTGGCCTTAGGGCCGGGAAACCGCAGGAACTTCACAAAGTGGTCCTTTCATTCTGTCTTCGTGCTCACGCCTCTGCTGCGTGGGGGGTGCTCTGGGCGGCGCCTGGGCTTGGCGCCCCGTGTCAGTCACACGCTCCCGGGCGGGGTTCCCGCTGAGCAGCCCGTCCCGTGGTTTAAAACAGCAGACACAGAGCGGCTGTCTCCCTCCTGCCGCCCGGCTCCGGCCTGCGGTGTTTCCGTTTCCCGGAACGGCCAGGCTGGGCGCAGCGGCTCCTGCACCACGGCTGCCCCCGCCGTGGCTGCCACCGTGGCTGCCCGCGCCAGGCTGCCCCCGCCGTGGCTGCCCCCGCCGTGGCTGCCGCGCCAGGCTGCCGCGCCAGGCTGAAGGAGGAAGGGACGAGGGAGCGGACGCTGCGGGCCTCGGGGCTCGGCGGCCTCCCGGCCCGGCCCCTGGGCCCCGGGCGGCACCGCTCCTGCCCGGCGGCCCGAGCCCACGAGCTGCCTCCCACAGGCGCACCTACGTGGGCAGCATGCCCGGCCGCATCATCAACGGCCTGAAGACGGTCGGCGTGAACAACCCGGTGTTCCTGCTGGACGAGGTGGACAAGCTGGGCAAGAGCCTGCAGGGCGACCCGGCCGCCGCGCTGCTCGAGGTGAGGCTGCGGACCGGGCGCGCCCGCTGCCCGGCGAGGCCGAGGGGCTCTGCTGGGGTGCGCGCGTGTGCGCGTGTGCGTGCGTGTGTGCACGCGTGTGTGTGTGTGTGTGTGCCTATGAGTGTGTGTGTGCCTGTGGGTGTGTGTGCATGCATGTGCCTGTGTGCGCCTGTGTGTATATGTGTGCATGTGTGTGTGCATGTGTCTGTGTGCTTGTACCTGTGTCTGTGTGTGTGCTTGTGTGTGTACATGTGCCTGTGCGTGTGTGTGCGTGTGTGCGTGTGCCTGTGCGTGGTGGGGGTTAGGCTTGGAACCAGGTCCATGCAGACTGGAGTCAGAAGCAGTTCGAGATGTGACTTAAGTGACTTAGAGAGCTTTCTCTTTCCAGTAATTCTCATTTTTTCCTCGTTAATTTTCATCACATAGTTCCACAGTGTGACACTGAGGTGCTGCTCTGGAACGTGGGCATGTCAGGGAGGGCGGGCCTCAGTGTTGCCGCCGGCTCCCTGACAGCCACGCCAGACCAGCCGCCACGCCGCTGCGGCCGCGTGTCCTGCCCTGGAGCCGCCCCAGTGGCTCCGCGTCCCCCTCCCCGCAGGTGCTGGACCCGGAGCAGAACCATAACTTCACCGACCACTATCTCAACGTGGCCTTCGACCTCTCCCAAGTCCTCTTCATCGCGACCGCCAACACCACGGCCACCATCCCCGCGGCCCTGCTCGACAGGATGGAGGTCATCCAGGTGCCAGGTACGCGGGTCACGGGGAAATGCATGATGGGATGTTTCTTCCCCGCCTTTCTGGACGCAGCCCTCAGCAGTGGGGAGCAGCCCTCAGCAGTGGGGAGCAGCCTTCAGCAGTGGGGAGCAGCCCTCAGCAGTGGGGAGCAGCCCTCAACAGTGGGGGAGCAGCCCGTAGCAGTGGGGAGCAGCCCTCAGCAGTGGGGAGCAGCCCTCAGCAGTGGGGGAGCAGCCCGTAGCAGTGGGGAGCAGCCGTCAGCATTGGGGAGCAGCCTGTAGCAATGGGGAGCAGCCTTCAGCAGTGGGGAGCAGCCCTCAGCAGTGGGGGAGCAGCCCGTAGCAGTGGGGAGCAGCCCTCAGCAGTGGGGGAGCAGCCCGTAGCAGTGGGGAGCAGCCCTCAGCAGTGGGGAGCAGCCCTCAGCAGTGGGGAGCAGCCCTCAGCAGTGGGGGAGCAGCCCGTAGCAGTGGGGAGCTGTGGAGTCTCCAATAAAGAGTCGGTTTGCCCACTCAGAGTCTGGCAGGCACACATGCGCTTGTTTGCTTTCACCCTGACGGACCGGGCGTCTCCGCGATAAATTTTGGTAGCCGTTTCAGATGGGACGTAGCGCGAAAGAATGGTCAGCTTTGGAATGGAAAGACACTTCCCTTTAAGCAGTTTCCAGCATCACAGAAAAAGTCACTTTTTTCAAAGTCAGAAACCAGTTTCTCACAGTCAGTTTAGCTTCCTGTCCGTCTTTTCCGGGTGTTTCCCTTCGCTGGGAAAGGCGACATTCCCGCCCACCGAGTGAGCGGCCGCGGCGAGGAGCCCGTCACCGCATGGGCTGGTCTGCCTGCGCTTGTAACCGCAGCCAGCAGCCAGCTTTGGTTTTTTGTTTTGTTTTTTTGCAAAAACTCCTTTAGTTACTAACAGTGAATACATCTCAGTGTTCACCTATTTTAACGTTCAGAATTATTTCTCCCTAGGAGACATGTAATGTCAGTGGGTATTTGTTAAAGTGGAAATAGAGTAGAATCTAAATATATCTAAGTCTAAACATATTTAGGTTCTCACATAATTCAAGTGTGTATTTCATTTCAATCTGAAATACAATTCTATCAAGGGGACGCTACCTGGGTTTCTCAGTTTTCTGGGAGTCCTGCCCGTCCCTAACTTAAAATGGGGTATCGTTATAAAGCAGGATGGAGGAAAATACCGCCCTGGGCCTCTTCCTGAGACTAAAACAAGTCAGTCATGGAACTAACTCATTGTCTGGACCTGCAGCTGGAGGCGGACAGCCGGTGAGACCAGCGAGTGTGCAGTGGCCGTGTGCTGGCATGGTGGTCTCGTTACCCCTGCTGGCCTGTTTCCTTTCCTGCTCACCAGCTGTCTTCCTGTTCTTTTTTTCTTTTTAATGTAGTTTGCTGATTTTTCACAGACAGGAAGGGAGAGGGATAGAGAGTTAGAAACATCAATGAGAGTGAAACATCGATCAGCTGCCTCCTGCACACCCCCCACTGGGGATGTGCCCGCAACCCAGGTACATGCCCTTGCCCGGAATCGAACACGGGACCCCGCAGTCCGCAGGCCGACGCTCTACCCACTGAACCACACCGGTCAGGGCCTCAGTTCATCTTTGTAACGTTTGCTTGTTCCATGGAAAGGGGGCGGTCAGTTTAGCGGGAATTTTTCTTACAGGTTTAAAGACAGAGCAAACCCGTTCTCGTTGAGGCGTTTAAAGAAGCGAGAGCTGCGTCTTTTAAACGTGTCGGCTGCCCACAGCTCCGACCCAGAGGGCAGCGTGGGCGGGGGGGTGCGGGGGGCGGTTTCTTCGCTCAGGTCTATGTGGGCTCTTCCCAGAACCCGATGCCCGTTCAGTGCAGTGGCCGCGTGTGGCGTCCTTTCAGGTTTGCTTCAGTTCGTGCTAAAGAACGGGTGCGCCTCCTACTGACTAACAAGCAGGAACCAGCTGTGAGCTGGGGAGTACTCCCCGCAGCTCCCCCTCCTCCCTGAGAGGCAGGTCGTCCAGAAGGTCTCGGGGGCTGTGCTCGGCACGGGCTCCTTCCCTGTGGGGAGAAGCCGGAGACTCTGGCTGGGTTGGTAGGAGGATAAACGTCCTTCTGATCGGATGGTCTTGGTTGCGGTTGTGCCTCCATCCGGTCCCGGAGGCCTGGCCGGGGCAGCCGGGCCCGGCTGACCGCGCGCCCCCTCCAGGGTACACGCAGGAGGAGAAGATCGAGATCGCCCACCGGCACCTGATCCCCAAGCAGCTGGACCAGCACGGGCTGAGTCCGCAGCAGCTGCAGATCCCGCCGGCCACCACGCTGGGCCTCATCACCAGGTCAGTCCGCGCCCGCGGCTCCCTTAACACCAGGCCCCCCCCTCCCCCCGGGGGCCGGTGCGGCCGCCTCTGCCCGCGGACCCCGCATCACCGGTGTGCGCCCGGCTCAGCGTCAGGCAGGGTCCATCCGGGCAGCACTGAGTGTCTCCACAGCCGAGGCCTCCACCGAGCCCGGAGGCCCTTCCCACGGAGCCGCCCAGGGGCCCCTCTGGGGATGAGAACCCGCCACGTGCGGACACGGAGGCACGGCTGACGCCCGAGCTTAGAGCTCCCTCCCTTCACGTGTGAGCGGCTGCCTCCCGGCTCCTGTTTGGAGTCATTCCCATCTCCTCTTCTTAGGAGGCTTTTCACGTCCTCCGTTCTCACCTGCGGGAGCAGAGAGGGGAGGTGCCTCAGCGGCCGGCTCCCAGGCTGCAGCTGGCGGTCCGGCCTGTGCGCGGGGAGCTGGGGGAACGGAGCCTGCAGTGGCTCCCGCTCTCCCCACCTGCCTTGCGGGCTGTTGCATCACCGCCCGCTGTGTGGCATCTGCAGGCAGCCCTCCCCCCTCTCCCCGTCCTCTCCCCTCTCCCCACCCCTCTTGGGAACCTCGGGGTTCAGGAGAAGCGGCTCCCTGTTCTGGCTTCTGACCTGGCATTAGCCAGTTGGGGCGCTGAGGCCCCCCGGCCTCCCAGGAAGGCTGTTTACATTCGCAGCAGCGAGGCGGGCTCTGACCTGGAGGCGGGGAGGTGCTGCTGGGTAGAGGGGAGAGGTCAGGGAGGGGTTTACAGACAGGGTCCGATCCGAGCAAGCCGGCCCGGAGTTTCAGGAGGAGCCTCGCCTGCTGGCAGCCCGGCTGTGAGGTCTGAGGGGAGTCCAGTCCAGTGGCTTCTTGGGGTCTGAATCGGTGGATGGGAGTCACCACTGCCCTTCCCGTTGTGGCCTGGAGAGCCGGGTCTCCTCATCTGAGTCTGCCGAGGCCCCCGGGCAGGCGTAGGGGACGTGGCGGGAGTGGGGTGTCACTATTGGTCCCGCGGCCACCGCAGCCAGCTGACGTCCTCGCCGTGCTGACCGCCAGCCCGTGAGTGCGGTGTCCTCTTGGGGGCCCCCGTGGCCCCTCTGTGGCAGGTCACCGCTCCCACAGGCACCGGTGGAGCTTCCTTCAGGGTTCACGGGCAACGCGGGTGCCGGGCCTGCTCTCGCTCAGAACGCTCATGTGAGCGTGGCCTCCGCTGCGTCCTGTGGGGCCCTCACCTGGCTCCCGCGGCCGTTCTGCTGTCGGGCGGTTCCCCGGCCGCGTCCTCCTCCGTCCCTCCGCTCTGTGTAAGGGGAGGGGTGGCCGGCACACACCCGACTGTCCTGGGACAACAAGACGGTCAGAAGGAACGTCACTGGGAGGCGAGGTCCTCCAGGGAGCAGCGAGGTGGACTGCGCGGTGGCCGCTGCGGTGCAGGCTGACCGTCACCCTGCGGCCGATCTGCCAGGGCTGAGCCTGTTCTCTGGCGCAGGTACACCCGGGAGGCGGGCGTGCGCTCCCTGGACAGGAAGCTGGGCGCCATCTGCCGAGCCGTGGCCGTGAAGGTGGCCGAAGGACAGCACCGGGAAGCCAAGCTGGAGCGTGCGGAGGCGCCGGAGGCAGAAGGTGTGTGGCCCTCGGCGGTGCTGGGGCAGAGGGGCGGGGGGCGGGAGTCCGGGCGCTGCAGGAGGCAGCCTGCCCTGCGCCCCGGGCCCTCCTTCACAGACCGCACAGGGCAGCATGTGCCTCCTCCACCTTGTGGCCCGTAAATAATCACCGACCTCTGCAGCGCACCAAGAACGATTTAACAGAGAAAAAAGGTGTAATTTTGATTGAATAATAATAGTTATTACCCTTTCGCTCCAAAGTGACTTTAAAAAAAAAAAAAAATCAGGTGCCTGGCTGGTGTTGCTCAGTGGCAGAGCATCAGCCCACGTACCAAAGGGTCACAGGGTCGATTGTTGGCCTGTGTTTCTCTCCCCCCCCCCTCCTCTTTCTCCCCCGCTCTCCTTTCCATTTCCTCTAAAAATCAATGGGAAAAATGTCCTTGGGGGTGAGGATTAACAGAAAAATAAATAAAATTTAAAAAGCAGGTGCTCATCCCTGCACCTGAGGATCTCTGCTACCAGGAGCTAACAATCAGATGGACCTCAGTGTGCGCGTGGCTGAGAGGACACAGCTGTTGCTCAGCCTGTGGGTGGCTCAGGGCGGTGTGCACGGGGTGGCCGCTGGGCTGGCCGTTGTCGTGTTTGTATTTTGTAGCCTAGGGGAGCAGGGTCAGGGCCCCTGGCTCCCAGCCGGGTGTTGCAAGTTAGTAACCTGGCGGCACACAGGTGAGAACCTCTGCTTTAAGGCTACGGCTCTGCTGATCTCTAATCTGGGTGCCGGTTCTGGGTGCCGGGGCTCTTGTCCGGGCATTCAGAAGGGTTCGGCAATCCGGAGAAAGGCCGTGTGTGACTGGAGTAAGCGTCCAGAGGTGAGAGAGAGGTTTGGAAGGCATTGGGCGTCAGAGGAGCCTGGCTGAAGAAAACCAGGTTCTTCTTGTCTCAGGACCCCTTGCTTTTTATTAGCGCAAACTGTCCTAAGGCAAAGTGGAGATGTGCACTTCCAAGGCAGGGCTTCCTACAGAAGCATTGTCGGATTGGGGAGTAGCCCATGGCTGTTCAGGTGTCTGGCCAACAGGAGGCAATAAATACCATGTAGATTAAGATGCCCTGAGCTGTCTGGCAGCAAACAATCAATCGAGTGCATCTTTTTCAGGTTTGGGGGAATGCCTTTAGCCATCCCTATAGGGATGTGACTCAGCCGTTGTTGAGACCCCAAGTTCCATCGGCCTTTTGGGGAAACTCCTGCAGTTATGGCGTGCTGGCCCTGGCTCTGGGTGTTCCTTCTGGTCAGGGTACTGGGAAGTCTGGGTGCCAGCAGCTCAGAGGCTCGGACAGAGCGAGCATCCATGCTGGCCCGTGCAGACGGGCAGTTCTCTGTCCTGGCAAAAACGTTTTCTCGCCGTCGTCTCTGACAGCAACACGATTTAAATGTCATTTAGGTTACTTTTTTTTTTTTAGAGAGAAATGACGTGGAGATGGTGATGGGGAGAGAAAGGGAAGGGTTCTATCACCGAATTCACTGAAGATGTGAGCCCGTTAGCATGGTCAGCTCCCTGCCAGGCCTGTGCAGCTCTGGGAAGGAGTCGGGTGTGTGGCTGAGGAGCCGTGTGGGTGCGGGCTCGGGGGTGGACTCACACCTCTTCCCTGCGCTCTGTTCTGTGCGTTTCACAGCAGCATCCGCAGAAGCAGAGCCGCCCCAGAGCCCTCCTGTGCCCCGCGCGGGGCTCGCCGCCCCCCCCCCACCCCCCCCCCTCCCCCGCCGCCGCCGGGTCTGTGGGTGAGCCCCTGGCTCTCCGACTCCCGTTTCCTGTGAGCTCGAACCCATCCCCACCAGCTTCCGGGGTGTGGCTGGCTGCTCTCAGCAGCCATTATCTTCCTTCTTATTCTTCTGTTCCTGTGGCGTTTTCCGTTATTAAATTCCTTGTCGTCTTAATAGGACTAGGAGAGGAAGTTGTAAGATAAACACATGTTCAGCCCACCATTTAGCAACCTGGGTTTTATAAAAGTGCCTGCGTGAGCAGCAGCCTGTCCAGCATGGCGGGGTGGGGGTGGGGGGGCGGGTAAGAGCTGTGAGCTTCCACTGTAACATGGGTCGGGGAGACGTGACATGCAGCAGGGGGTGTGGTTAACATGGTGATAACTCCGTGAGGTGCTGGGCCTGTCAGGGCAGGGCCTGCCGTGCCCTGAGCTAACGTCACTGTGTCAGCTGCAGCGGAACGCAAGTTTGAGCCCCGCCGGCGGCTCAGGGGTTGAGGCGGGAGCCGGGAGCCGGGCGCGGGTTCTGAGCGGTGCCTCTCGCAGGCCGAGAGCTCTCGGACGACGCGGAGCCCCAGCCCGTCAGTGACAGCAGCGGCGCCGGCCTGGCCCTCCCCCCCGAGATGCCGATCCTGATCGACCTCCACGCCCTCAAGGACATCCTGGGGCCCCCGATGTACGAGATGGAGGTGAGCGCCTCGCTGGCCGAGCCCCCCTCACCCTGCTCTTCCTGAGGGCGGGCCAGGGCCTCCGTGCTGCCCGGCTTCTCCGGGACCACGGCCACCAGCGGGCTTCACCCCTGCGCCCAAAGAGTCAGCGCAGCCCGGCCTGCACCCCGCTCAGCCTGCCATCCGCTGCTCCCGAGCTTCACCCCTGCGCCCAGAGAGTTAGCGCAGCCCAGCCTGCACCCCGCTCAGCCTGCCATCCGCTGCTCCCGAGCTTCACCCCTGCGCCCAGAGAGTTAGCACAGCCCAGCCTGCACCCGGCTTAGCCCGCCGCCCGCTGCTTCTGGGCTTCACCCCTGCGCCCAGAGAGTCAGCGCAGCCCGGCCTGCACCCCGCTCAGCCTGCCATCCGCTGCTCCCGAGCTTCACCCCTGCGCCCAGAGAGTCAGCACAGCCCGGCCTGCACCCCGCTTAGCCCGCCGCCCGCTGCTCCCGGTTCCAGAGGCGCTGGGTGGGTGTGCAGTGCGCGCAGACCGGTGTCCGTGGGTGGGAGAAGTCCAGGCCCAGAGGGGCCAGGGTGGTGGGTCATGCCCCTGCACCCTGGGATTTCGTAGCCGAGGTACGTTCACCTCCCTGGCTGGCCAGCGAGGCCCACGGTCCGGAGTTTGCAGTGGAGGGCGGCCTCTGAGCGCCGACCCGGCCTGGAGTCAGGGTGAGCTCAGAACAGTGAAGAGAGGACTGGGAAGTGGCAGGGAGGCCCTCGATGTGCACGTCCACTCCCTCGGGTGGGTCCGAGGGGTCCCACTTCCTGAAACGGCCATGTGGCTAGTGCTGGCTTCGGGCACACTGCAGGCACAGGCGGTGAGGTGGCCGGCAGCCCGCGGGCTTGTCCTGGAAGACAGGTGTGTGGGCTGCCCCGGGCCCCCCGACAGCGGACATTTAGGTAAAAGGCTCCTGAGAAAGGCCCCGTGAGCTCAGCGCGTCCCGCAGGAGGCCACGCCCAGCAATGGGAGCGCGACACCAGCCCTGTGGGCGCGCACCGGAGGGCGGGTCCTCACCCGCCCCCTCCTCTGCAGGTGTCCGAGCGCCTGAGCCAGCCGGGCGTGGCCATCGGCCTGGCGTGGACGCCCTTGGGCGGGGAGATCATGTTCGTGGAGGCCAGCCGGATGGACGGCGAGGGCCAGCTGACGCTCACGGGTCAGCTGGGGGATGTCATGAAGGAGTCCGCCCACCTCGCCATCAGCTGGCTCCGCAGCAACGCCAAGAAGTACCACCTGACCAATGGTGAGTGCGGGGGTGGGGACGGGGGGGGGGGGGGGGGGGTGTCCGCCGAGCCGGAGCCGAGCTGTGGCAGCCACGCCGTCGCTGAGCGGCCTCTGGCAGCCCGGGGAGCTCGGTCCGCTCAGCAGGTCGCCGCCGTTAACGTGGTGAAGGAAGGAGTCCTTTACCCACGATGTGCTGCTTTTTTAGATTTCCCTTTTTAGGAGAGAAAGGGAAAAGTGTAAGTTCCCACATTAAAACCCTTCTTTCCTCTGTAAGCTTCTGGAAGTTTCGATCTTCTCGACAACACGGACATCCACCTGCACTTCCCGGCCGGAGCCGTCACCAAGGACGGGCCGTCGGCCGGGGTCACCATCGTGACCTGCCTGGCCTCGCTGTTCAGCGGGCGGCTGGTGCGGTCGGACGTGGCCATGACCGGGGAGATCACGCTGCGGGGCCTGGTGCTCCCGGTGAGTCTGTGCGCTTCTCCGTTTAAATCGCCTCCTCCCGGTGAGAACCTGAGTTGTAAACACATAGAAAGTGCTGATAGCTATATCCTGGTGACTCCTGCCAAATCCCAAAACCATTTCCCAGGTTTTTTCTTCTAATTATGCTTCAGTCTTACTCGTTGTGATTGGTCCATTTCAATTCTCTGATGCGTCTTGATCCAGTTTGGGAGGACGGTGTGTTTCCAGGAATGTATCCCTTTGGTCCAGACGGTCGGCTATATTGGCACGTAGTTCATCCTGTTTCCTTGTTCGCGCCTTTGTGTTTCCTGGTGTCAGTTATCGCTTCTTCCATCTCTGGCTTCCTCTGGGCTCTTTCTTGATGGTTCTGTTTGGAGACGGATCTTTTTTATCTCTTCAGAGAACCAGCCATTGGTCTCAGGGCTCTCTCGTGTTGGTTTTCCTTTATTTCCACTCTTTCTCGTTCCTTTTACTCACTTTGGGCTTTACTTGTTCTTTTTCAGTTCCTCTAAGTGCACTTAGATTGAGATCTCCCTTTTCCCCCGAGGCAGACCTGTAATGCTGACTTTCCCTCGGAGGACGGCGTCCCCAGACCGAGATGGTGGGCTGTGTCCTCATTTTCACGTTTCACAGTATCTTCTTGCTTCTTCCTTGTTCTCACGGACCCGTCCGTGGCATAGGACCATGTTTAGCCTCCATGTCTCTGTGTGTTTGCTTCTTGTGGACGTCTTTTGGAGCCCGGAGCCTTGTCTCCGGGGCACTTGTCTCCTCCCGGGGGTGGCCCAGCAGTCCAGCGCTAACCTGCGCAGGGGCGCCCCCTGGCGCACAGCTGAGCTCTGCGGGCCGCGTCTGGTCAGCCAGCGTGACGCTCTATCCAGTCAGCCCGCAGGCAGAGCCGTTTCTGCAGACTCTCAGTGCAGCCTTGCCAACAGACAGGAGCACGGACAGAAGAAAACCGGAATCTTTCCCGTTGAAAGGATGGACTCTTAACACAACTGAAACCGAGAGAATTCACGGTCGCTAACCTTTCCAGCAGCTTTCCCAGCTCCCGTGTGACGCGCTTAGACGCAGCGGTGCAGGCGCTGGCGGGGTCCCCGCGCGCCGAGGTCACCGCCCGCGTCTCCTCCCCGCAGGTGGGCGGCATCAAGGACAAAGTGCTGGCCGCGCACAGAGCCGGCCTGAAGCGGGTCATCCTCCCGCAGAGGAACGAGAAGGACCTGGAGGAGATCCCGGGCAACGTGCGCCGGGACCTGAGCTTCGTCACGGCCAGCCGCCTGGACGAGGTCCTCAACGCCGCCTTCGACGGGGGCTTCTCGGTCACGGCCAGGCCCGGCCTCGCGAACAGCAAGCTGTAGGCTCGGGGCTTGTCTGTGCGCAGAGGGGCCGGCAGGGCTGGCCGTGCACACCGCGGGTAAGCAAGACGCCCCTTATTAGAGTCTAATAAACAGATGGCACCGACTTCCTCTGTCTCTGGTAATCTCTGTCCCTGGGGAGGGGGCGCGGGGCCCACTGTGGCCCGACAGAGCCTCTGCCGCCTGAGGACTTGCTAGAAATGTCCCTTCTCCCGCCCACACTCAGCAATCTGTTCTGGAGCCCCGGGTGACTCAGGCGCGAACGGCTGGTAGAGGCCAGGGCCTCAGATCCCCCTGGATGTGCAAGGGGCACTGGGCAAAGGTGGGAACACAGCCCGTCAGACTCTGTGGAAATGACGTTTTCTGGCTGAGCACGCATGCGGAGGCCCACATGTCTCCATGTAGCGGAGGGAAGCCGCACACGCAACATCGTGCAGGCACACGTGAGAAACACGCGGGCCCCGAATGCCGGGCACCTTACATACCAAGTCCAGGCACCAGAGGGAGGCCGCCGACCTTTCTGGGCTGGTCCCCACGCCCGTCACCCTGACCCGCAGCCTCCCCCCGCCTGCGGGCTCTCCGCTCCTCTCCCCCGACTCACCTAGGCCTGGGACCACCAGGTCAGGTGGCGCACCGTCAGTGTGCTGTACGCGGAGACTAGAACACGGAGTGAAATGCCGTCCGTTCCGACGACCGTCCAGCCAGTGACGGGCTGCAGTCCTCTACTCCAGCCGGAAGGAAGCACAGGTACGTCAGGACACTGCGAGTTCTTGGAGCAGCATGGGGTCTGCACGTCACATACCGCCCAGCCTGCTGGTGGGTGCCAGGGTCCCTCACTGTGGCCTGTGCTGTGCTTTACAGTAAAACTCTTACATTCCAAACCTGCACCGATTCCTGCTGTGAAGCACAGAATCGGACAGGAAAACAGCTTTGGATATTTATCAACTTAAGAGCTAAAGCAACACAAAGAGTTTTTAATTTGCCAGATATTCTTTTAATGAGAATTATAAAAAGACCAAAAACATTTTTTTTTTTTTTGCAAACTGCCCTTTTTTAAACAAATGCTTTGCTTTTAATTACAAATACTGTGTGAGATGATGCCTTCTTTTGCAAAACCAATAAATATGAGAGAACAAATTTTAAACATATGTGATTTGTCCAAGATATCGGGCGGGGAGGCTGATTTATCAATATTTTTTTAAAATCAGTATATCCTACTACCTTTGAAAAAATAAATTTGAAGGCGTGACTCAACTGGGGAAAAAAGAGAAAGGGACCGACCAACCAGCCATCTTCCAGGTGCAATAAGCAGCTTCTGATCTTCCTCCCGATGTTCCCTCTCCTTTCTGGAACTCGCATCTTCACAAGATGGCTGAATTTAAAGTATTTCTAATAAACTGATTAATGGGGAGAAAAAATATGTATGGAACACATATGTATAAACTTTACCTTAAACAAGTATGCATATCAAAAAAAACACTAACTTTAAAAAAGGTACAAAAAAAAAAAAAAAAAGATGGGAAAAGGTTGAATTACAGAAAAGGAAGTCAAATTTATTTAATGAAAAACTAGAATTAATAAAAATTAGCAAATACACAAAAAATACATACACACACAGCAGCACTATGTATTGACTCAAAAGAGGGGAAGCGGTGGCCCGAGGCCACTCAACATGGCTTGTCAGTTAAAGGAAGAAAAACCCCACACGCACACGCACACGCACCCACACGCGCATCCACACACTCACCCACTCACACCCAGAAACAAAAGCAGTTTTCAACAGTACACTCAATCTACAACGAGCACAAATCCAGAGTTATTTTACAGCGCTTCCTTTCTTAATACAAAAGATGCCCGTCTTGGGTGTATATATATATTTTTTCAGTGGTTTACTGTTGACTTATTTTAAATATATTAGTGTTACTACATGCAGCCGTTTCCTGTATTGAACAGCCTTTCCGTTTATTTACCTTCATGGGACTAGCGCCACCTACCGACAGTCTCGGGGGCGGGCGGGCTGAGGCGGCCCGTTCTCTGAAAGTGAACGCAATGGTTCAGCACTGGCCAGAAAACGTCGCGTTGCCGCTTCAACACATGGAAATAGTTACATTGATGCCTAAGTTGCCATTTTCTGCAAAAAGCTGCGCGATGCTGGTGTCGAAGACTAGACAGTCGCTGTTCATGATGGCTGTCGCGATTCCCTCGTGAATCGAGCGCGGAGTGGCTTCCCAAGTCAATCGCCGCCGGTGACCGTTTAGCTCGAGCCGATAGGCGAAATTCTCGGCCTGCTTGCGCGTGCCTATCAGCTGCACGATCGCGAAGAACTGCTGGTGGCCGTCGTACTTCTCCTGCTTCTCCAGGACCAGCATGAAGTGGAAGCCGAAGCAGGACTGCATCATGACCCAGTCCACGGCCCCGGGCAGGTTGATGTCCGTGGCCAGGAAGACGATGTCCTCGCCCTGCAGCGTGGTGATGGACTTGTGCTGGTGCATCAGGTGCGGCATCACGGCGTCCAGCGAGCCCTGCCACTTGCAGGACGCGCCGGGGCACGGGCAGGAGTAAGGCCGGAACTCGCAGAGCTCTTCGTGGTCCGCCTTCTCCGTGTGCGGCAGCGTTATCTCGCAGCCCGAAGAGGCGTACTTACAAGGGAAAAGGACGGAGTTGGCCACCTTCTCCATCGCCAGGTTGCGGATGGACCCCAAGGGCCCCCGGCAGGTGGGACAGCACGTGAGCTTCGGGCGACAGTTGCTACAGACAAGGTGGCCGCTCTGACACTGAAGGATGGGGGGCAGCACATAGTCAAAGCAGACGGGACACTCAAAGAGGCTGGCCAGGTCATTGTTGGACGCAGTGGTGCCCGTCAGGGCGGGCACCCTCTGGGACGGTGTGCACTTGGAGGTCCCAGTCGGTAACGCTGTCGCAGTCTGGCGGCTCATTTCTAAAACAGAAACAAAAAGTAAGAGGAGGAAGGACAAAAGTCATCATCGTTGTAACTTGGTTCATAAAGTCATGTGTTGCATGCGAAAAAAATTTTAATATGTTTTTATCGATTTCAGAGACAGAAACATCAATGACGAGAGAGAATCATTCACCGGCTGCCCCTGCACAACCCTACCAGGGATCGAACCCGAGACCCTTCTGTCCCCAGGCTGATGCTCTATCCTCACTGAGCCAACCGGCCAGGACTCATGCAAAATTTCTGTGAGCAAACCAGGGAAACAAATGGTTAAAAAGGAATCCCGTATAAGATGCGTTTTGATGAGGAGTTACAGGCTGGGTGAAATCTCTCGTCATGGTGTCCCGAAAGCACAGACTTCCTCTCTTACTAAGAGGGAAGGAAGGTGAGACCACCCTTGGGTGCCCAGGTGGAGGAAGGCTGATGTACAACCGGGACCCCAAGCAGCTGAGAGACAAGTCGCTGAAGTCCAGAGGGAAGAAGAAAGCAGAGCCAGCACGGCTGGTGTCCCGGTGAAGCACTCCCTGAGCCGGGCTCTCTGCTGCGGACAGAGAACTGCCCCGGAGACGGCCAGCAGGAGGCGGCACCTTCCCGGGAACGGGCCTGTGTCTTGGGTTCAGCTGGTCTGAGAGCAGACCATCAGCCACGTTTCTACGAAATTAAAACTCAATGCCTCAGAGTTAATGTCTCAATTATAACTGTCACTCTGTTGCAAAGAATTTACCTTTGAAAACTGCTGCTAACAGAAAGAAAAGGGGGAAAGGATGCTGGCTACCAATGTGCCCATGTAAGTGCCACCTGGGGTCCCACATCACTCCACTCTACACCCCACCGCAGGGGCTGAGGGTGCAAAAGAGACCAAGCCCGCTCTCACGAAAATATCCTGACGTTCAAGGAAAGGGGAGCAGAATCCCTGCAGAGCGCAGCCCTCACGGGGAGGCAGGAGGCAAGGTCAATGCTCTTCACCTGAGGCCCAACAGCAGGGCCAGCCCCCAGGACTGAGTGCAGAGGCGGCCCAGGGCCCGGGATGGCCCGTGCTGCGGTCAGCGGAAGATGCCCAGTGTGGCCCCATGCCCGCTTCCTGGCCAGCTGTGCCCCCAGTGAGTGCAGGACCATTGGAAAGGGGCTCCTCGGGCAGAAGGCTAAGCCCCCGGACGCCTCCCAGTCACTGACCTGCACCCGCTCACGATGGGGTGAGGCCCCTGGTATGTCTGCAAGCTGGTGTGACCACAGGAGGACCCTGTGCAACTGCTGGCCTACGAGCAGTGGACAATAGTTCAGGTCCAAGTTCAATGGGCCGCCGCCGCCTCCCAGCGCCCTGGGGAGGGAGCACAGCTTAAGCCCTGTGCCCAGTGGGAGGCGGGCGAACGCGCCGTGTTTCCTGTGAAGGGGACCCGCACCGCATGGAGCTGCCAGTCCCTCCAGCTCCAAAGGTGGCCCAGGGCCGCCTCGGCCAGACAAGCGCCCACAGCCCGGACCGGAGCCTGGGCGCTCCGGGAGGGCGCGGTGTGCCCTGAGGGGGAGCGGTGAGCGGAACCTGCCGCGACCTCCAATCGGCCGGTCACCGTCACCGGCGGTTCCCTGTGGGCTCAGGCCCAGGTACCTCTTCTCCTGCGGGTCCCGGCCGGCCAGCAGGGGAGCAGGGCGCCGCCCCAGCGGAGCGGGCCGCGCGGGCCGCAGCTCCCGGGCAGGGCCGCCGGGCGGGCCGCGCGCAGGGCCCTCCGGAGCGGCTTCCGCTCCTGCGCGGCGGGGAGGCGGTCGGCCGGCCCCGGGGGGGCCCCTCCGTGCGCGCCCCGCTCCGCGGAGGCCGGAGGGGCGGCCTCTCCTCCCCGGCTCAGTCCCCGGCGCCTCCACCACGCGGGCGCCATCGCGGCGCCGCCCGGCAGGCCGCCGCCCCGGGCCCATGGGCAGGGCAGGCCCCGGCCTGTCGGCGGGCGCGGGGAGCGGCGCCCGGGAGGCCGCGCGGAGGCGGCGGGGAGGCCTCTGGAGCCGCCGCCGCTGAGCCGGGACGGGACCGGGAGAAGGGGAGCCGGGCGGCCCAGAGGCCCGCGGGGCGGGGCGGGCGGGGCCCGGGGCGCACAGGCCCCGCCCACCGGCCCAGGGCAACTCCCCGCCTCCCGGGCTCCCCCAGCTCAGCTCAGGGTGGGCCGTGGCTGCAGGCGCCAGCCGGACCGCCCCTTCCTCTTCCCCTTCCTAACTCGCTTCCCCATTTCTACCTTCGGCCCCACCCAACACCGTCTACACCCCCACCCACCCACCCACCCACCCAGCGCCGACTCCCACTCCGCCCGCCCGGACAGCCCCGCCCCGGGGGAGCCGTCCGTCCGCGGCCTCGGCAGCCGGGCCGGAGCGGCTGGTTTGGCTCCAGCCCGGCCCTCCCCGCCCGGCCCGGGCTGGCACTGCTGGGCCTGTCATTAGAGCCGCCGGGCGGGCGCCCCGAACCCGCAGGCGGCCTGCCCCGCCCCTTTCCCAGCAGCGCTCAGCGCCAGGCCGCCCATCAGACTGTGCCCACCAGCCTCTGCCTGAAGCTCCAGGACATGGCCTTGCAGCTGACAAAGATGAATTACTGTGGCCCCGTCTCAGCTTCCAGGATGCACTCACAGCCCCAGGTCTCTGCGGGGAGGGGGCTGCCAGTGCTTTGGGTAGAGAAACTTCCCAAACAGCATAAGGCAGAGCCCAGAGGCTCAGAGCAAGCAAGGGGGGGCGTCTCCTTGAGCAGTTTCCCTTTCCCCAAAGGTCCCCGCCGCACAGACCTCCCCGCGCCCCCGCGGTCCATTCGCACAGACTCCTCCGGGGGCGTTGGGGCAGCAGCAGCAGAGCTCACTAGTCACCTGCGCTGCATCCAGGCCCAGCCACCACCCTCCACCCCCCCCAGCCCCCAAACTGTAACGCTGGGCCATTTCCAGCCTCGGTGGCTTTTGTGTGGGTTAAGGAAGGTGGGTAACGTCTATCAGAGGAGATCCAAGTCCCAAACAGGTGCTGGCTGAGGCCTCCTCCCCTCGCTGGAGGCCTCGCCGGGAGGCCAGGCCGGCCATGCAGAGGGGCCTCCGGTGGACAGGGGACCAGCGTGTTTGTGAAGATCAGGGCCACTTAACTGGCTTCCCGTGCAGCGAGCCGTGAAGGACTTTCTCAACCAGGAACACTCTCCTCCGCCAGCTCCAGAGCTCAGCTTTTCACAAACCGCATGCTTTTCACCAAGACCAGCGCGAAGGGCCAAGGAAGCACAAGTCCACAGCTGCCCGGGGCGCACCGGTCCCTCCACTTCCCAGAGGACGTGCCTCCAGCCCACTGAGGGCCGCTAACACGCTCCTCACAACCAAGCTTCCCCGGGAAAAACAGGCTGCCGGGCCGGGCACGGCGAGGCCTCCTCGCACCTTCTGACCGGGCCCTGCAGGGGGGCCAGGGCGGCGGGGGCCATCGGGAAGCTGCCCCCAGATGACCCGGCCAGCTATCTGGGCGGGGGGACGGTGGTTTTAGCTGTATTTCCTCCAAAGGTGACGATAAGGAAGCTGCTTCGTAAGCATGAGTCTAGCTGAGAAGTGTGGAAACAAAGTCAGTAAAAGCTGCCTTCTGAAGCGAGTGGAGAGGTCAGCCAGGACGCGGCCGTGACCCCTGAGTTGTGGCTGCACTAACCAGGATGCGCCCTTCTCTACACCCACCGCTCCCTTCTCTGCACCCACCGCGCCCTTCTCTGCCGGGCATTCTGCTCCGATACCCACACAGGCTCTGTCCCCATCCCCCCCTCTGTGGCCACACCCAGCTGCCTCTACCTCCTCCATCATTCTGAGCTCTCAGGTACTCAGCTTCACAAATCAGGACTTTGTCCCGCCCCCTGGCCCCTCTCTTCCAGTCTTTCCTGGCTTGGTCAACAGCACCCGGGCCGCACAGCGGCTCACCCAGAAACCACTGGATCCCTGGCCCCCCTCACTCCAGACCTAACCCATCGGCGAGTCCCACTCATTCTGCCTCCAGCACACGTGGAGCCCATCCCCTCCCTCCTGTCCCGCTGCTCCTCCATCCAGAGCCCAGGCAGGCCTCCCTCCCTGACTGCCCCAGGCAGCCCAGCTCCAAGTTACAGAGCTGAGCTCCTCCTGAGACTTCGGGAGGGTGCCTCAGTGCACTTCCTCGCTCTCCCTCCCTGGCTCCAGCTCCTCTCTGCGGTCCTCCCTCCGCTGCAGGTCCTGCCTCTCCTTCAATTCATGGGCAGTGTCCCCTCCCACAGCAGGTCCTGGCGCCTGGATCCAGCCCTGGACTCCTCATGGGACCATCACGTGGTCATCCTGTCCCGCCCCCCACTGGCACACGCGTGGTAATATTTAGAGAAACTCGGTAACTTACTCCAGTGGTTTTAGAATTAATGAAGCGTGTTCTTTGCACTGTGCCTTCAGGTGCAAAGCAGGCGCTGTCCCTGCTCTCAGGCGGCTTAAGCTCACAAACTGCGGAGGGACCGAGCCAGGGCCTTCCAGTCCCGGAGGCTCGCGCTCCGCAGCCACGTTGTCGGGACACGGCAGAGGCCACAGACACGGAGCTGCTCTCACGTGGGAACCATGGCGTGGAGAGTGCCTCACCTACCGAGGGGCCGGATGGAGATGGACAATCGCGAGCAAGGACACAGACGTGTGCCAGACACAGAAAGAACCGGGCGCCAGGCCGGTGAGGCGACAGACAAGGTCCCCCGAGACCGAGGCCTATTGGGAGCTCAGAAAAACCTCCAGCTCAGGGGGCCACGCGGGGAGGGTGCCAGGTAGCGGGCGGTCCTGCGTCCATGAGGACCTGGGAGCTCTGTCCTGACACCTGTCACTGCGTTAGAGACCCAAGCAGGCAGGCCACTCAGAGGCAGAAGAGAAGGACTATGAAGGGGGAAACGAGGGGGGACAACGCCAGGTTGAAGCAGCACCCTAATATATAAAAGTGCAATCTTATGTTGCACTTGTCAACCTCATAATATACAATATTGCTAGTGAAGTGGAATGTAAAGCA